TAGATTTAGCCTTCTTTGCTGGCAGTCGATTATCGCTGAAGACACGTTTCCGGTCGATAAATTGGCGCTCCTTGGCATGGTGGTGATGGGTGTCCGCTTTCATGCTCATCACGCGGGGGGGCATCTTCATATCCAGCACGGTAACCCGACTCCTCTGCTTTGTCGCCTCCTCAAAGCTAACCGTCCCTTCCCAAGTTGTTTCATCGAGACTGAGACCTGTCTGGCAATTTGATCGTAGTCCCTTTTCAAGCCCTGCGAGTCCACCGAGAGCGTAGAAGGCGGATAGACTTTTGGGATTCAGCATTTTGTTCAAATGACCCGGGGTAAATGCGAATTTATTATCTTTGACCACAAAATCATCCTCCGTGCCAGGATCCGGCTTCAGCGCATCTGGGTCACTTATAATGTCATGTACATCACGGTCAACATCTCGTGACCGGCGATCTTGACCTGAAGGCGCGGACGCAACATAGGTGTCACTCTCAACAGAACCAGGAGAATTGCCTGCCTCCTCGGAATCCACAGAGTTTACCCGCGATCGAGTTCCAGGAACGGCTAAGAAGTTCTGGGATTGGCTTTCGGGCCATTTTGTAGTCGGTGATGAAACGTTATGGGGCGAGGTTGGGCGGCTTCCCTTATCCCTTCCCTCAAAGGACTGAACAGAGCGCAGTTCAGTAGGGGATGGGGGTTCGCCGGAGCGTCTGGAGCCTGCATCTGAATCTTCAGGTGGAATCCGCGGGGTGGGTTGTGTTCCATCTAGGGGATCTTGGGGTTGGGATAGCTCGCCGCCTGCGCTCACAGCGGACGTATCTATTGTAATGGTAGGTGCACGCTCGCGCCGTAGAGGAGGGCCCGCAGGAGGAAGGGAGTCATCATCCCGTGGCGGTTGTGACATGATTGCGATGTGAAACTTTGTGACAGAGTGAAGAGTTTGGCGTAAAAAGGTCTCGTAGAAGAGGTCACGGACATCCAGCCATGAAAATGTTGATTAGATCACCACGAGTGTAGCATGGTCAAGTTGAATGGAGCTCGAGCAAAGTTCAACGCGTGAAAAAAAAAAAACCTCCCAACAGATACACAGGCGGCAAAGAACTTCGAAAATAGTTTCCGCTAGCAAAAAGGAATTATGGTTAGTATTTGCAATTGATAAGGGCTGGGGAGATGGGATGGGGTAAAGGAGCGCGCAGCGGAGCTCTCTCATTTATTGCGGGGAGCGACTTTTGCAACGGGAATTGGCTCAATATCAAGAAGAACAGGAGAACCAAAAATGGATAAACGTCAGGATATAATGTCATAATTCAATGACCTACAGGAAATTGCCTATCGATAGGCCCAAGTCCGCCTTTGGGGGGGGGGGGAGGAGAGTACTCAAGGCGGTCGTCCACAAGCTATCAATGCGGTGGAAGCCAATAGGTTGGAAGAAAGCAGTGTTGAATATCTGGCCATCAAGCGGTGCTAATCGAATCGAAGATAGATAGATAGGTCAGGGAACCGGCCGGAAAGCAAGAGAGCAGCGCGTGCACAGTGAGGGAAGAAGAAATGGAGCTTCAAATTGAAGCCGGAGGAAGAATGGGCCGGACGTTGAAGTGAGGTGTGAGGTGAGGAAGTTTGGGGGAAGAAGACCAGGCCAGGAGGAGGAGGCTTCAGTTCAACGAGAGGACTGGCTGGGGCAAAAAAAAAAAAAAAAAAAAAAAAAAAAAACCCGCTTTTACACCACAGAACAGCGCATTCATTATTATTATTATTCATTCTCTGGCCCCTTGGGACGATCTACGGCGAATTGCCAAGTTCGATGGCTCCGTCAACTTCTACGCGTGCGGCTTCTTCCACCACACCACAGACATATCCTGAGACGAGAGACCTTGGTCCTTGGGAAGCTGATCGTTGGCGACCGTCAGACGTGTCAGTCAGTCTTTAGCTCTACAAGTACGGAGGTACTACTAGTTACTCTGTACAATGACCAGCAGGTTGGTCGCATGCATTTAAATACGCCCTAATTGCACTTCGCGCATCCGGAATTTCTCATTTGCGTTATGTTATTCTATCATTCTACAGTACGGAGCAAAAACCTGCATGGTTTTATATTCTCGGTCTGACGATCCCTATTATTACGCTGTAGGGAGTAGTAATAATAAGTAATTCTTCCATATCAAAGGATCTTTGCCATCCGCGAGGAAATCATATCATAGGTTGTTTTGTGCTTTTGGTGGGTGTTGCAAGGTTTGAGAAGAAGAAGAAGAAGAATAATAATAATAATATAAATAATGGAAGAAGGCGCAGCATGGGTTGAACCTTGGTTTGGGCGGTTGTTGGCCAGGGTCAAAGTTAAGCAAGCAACCCAACCACCACCACCGATCCGATCCGGCTAGCAAATCAGCGGAACAAGCCTAGCCAGGTTTGACTCTGCACTGCCTCACTGTTAGTCCGTACTCCGTAGTTAGTTAAGTCATTTAATAATTGGCCGGAGAAAATGGTGCTGCCCAAGAAACGAGGCCAGTCCTAGGCGGGACAGCCCTTTCCTTGTCCGGGAGAAATATCCAGGCCTGGGGGTTTCAGCAATCGTTGACTTTTTGAACCTACCACTCTACTAACTAAATGCAGTTGCACGTACGTCATGGCAAAATAGAATAAAAATGAAAAAATGAAAAAGTGAAAGAAAGTCGCAAAAGCCTGTTTGGGTGCTAGCTAACTAACTAGGGTAGAGAAGCCGCAAGGCAGGGCAGGTATCGATGACTTCACAATGCGAGGTTGGTTTCAGAAGCCAGACTTCGTTGGAGCGGTGCGGTGGGGGGCGCCTGCGCAGGAACGGACAATACGCTGTAACATCTGATTTAATATTATTACGTTTGAAACGTCAACTGTCTTGTCTGTCTGTCTGTGGCCTCCTCTTCCAAGAAGATGGATGAAGTTTCGTCCAATCAAACAGCCGGATTTGTCGGGTGGCTTCAATTTCGTCTAAAACGGCAAAGACTAACTAACTTACTTTGTTACTGCTTGGTTGGGTTGGTCGCCGCCCCAGCCGCCACCCACGAATAGAAGCCCAGAACCCTGGCAGCTTTCAACCAGCGCCTTGATTGAAAACTTTTTTTTTTTTTATCATGAAACAACCCTGATTTTCTCAATTTCTCTCATCATGGTTGTGTCATTTTCATTCCATAGATTTGAAAGAAAGGGGAACAATTTGCGGCTATGGTTTTGGCTCGCATGTTTTCCTTTGATAGCTTGTTGGGCTTCCAGGCCGGTGAGCTGCGCTGGTTAATGTACAAGTACATGTTCTCCGTACTCCGTACATGTACATGTATGTACATCCATTGATTTCTTATATCCCCAAGGCCCGTATCCAACAAGGCATTCTTATCAAAATCCACATACCCCGAGCCAGCTACTCCGATCTAAACAGCAGCTACGGATGTACGGAGTAGTTACAAGGTCTTTGGCGGCACCAACTATTGGAAAACAATCCTCCCCCACCTGGTCATACACAGCCAAGATATCCAACATTCGAAGTCCTCGCGTTCACTTGCTTGCTGCTTGCTTCAAACTTAACCCAATTAAATGGAATGGATTTTGCAAAGATTTGCAGGCAGCTAGCTCTATTTTTCTTTGGCCGCTGATGCTGGTTATATCCATAGATTTGGATATTGTCATCTTCGCCCTATACATAACTATTAGTAAGCTGAGAGAATAGCAAGATCCGGAGATAACAATTCACGCTCATACATGACAGCGTTTCTTTTTTCTTGCCAGAGAAAGTTCCAATGTCAGATCACATCCAAATGCTTGATAATGAACAAAGCCTATTCGACCAACGAAAACGCAGCATTTACAAACTTTCCGCTAGTTTTTTGTTTTTAAAATGCCTGATTTGGCTCCATGATTCTCAACTGATGACACTACGGAGCATGTATGTACGTATCGCATGCTCTATTTACGCGGTTATACAAATATACTTCTCGCCGTGTGTAAATAGCCACCCATCATTCAAGAATAAGGATGCACATGCATAGGAACAAATGCAGGGACAAATAACTTTACCGGATCTGGAGCAAAGCATGCTCCTCCCCCCCCCCCTCACGTCAATCCATAGTCCTTCCTCCCCCTTCCAACCTCATACCCTTTGTTGACCCACAACACACGCGGACACACAGATACTGCGGCGGATAAGGTGGGAATTAATGGATTGCACAGCTCTATTTCATTATTGGCTTTCCCGTTTCACCGCATCCAATAATGTGCAAATTTAATGCAATAACCTCCGGGTGAACTGCGTATGGAAAGCTGAATCTCTAACTAACTAACTAACTACGGAGTAACTAAGCTAGGCTGACGGATAGATCCTTCTGTTTTTCTCTTCCTTTAATTCCTTTTTTTTTTCACGCGGCTTTGTTGCCTTCCCTTCTGTTTGAGGAAGAAGGGTGTGCTTTTGGTTACGACATCTTCAGATGGGCACGGCAGAGTGGGGAATTCGGGAAGGGGGAGAGGGGGGGGGGGGGGGGGGTGTTCGTCGAGAAATTTTCAACTAGAGAAATCTACCGGATTGCTTCGAGGCTAGAGGTCAAGTGCCAGTCATGGTGACTGTGTATATATCAAGAAGCACAGCCCATTTAGTAATGGGGTCCGAAATTCAATACTTTGTCGTTAAGCTGTGCTACTAGCTCCGAAGGGATTCATATGTCTGTCTGTCTGTTGGTGCGTTGCATATATAATATATAGTTATCAGAGAAAAAACCCTTTCGGGTAATTCCGCACACGCATATTTTTTACCTGAGACTTTTTTCAGCCGGAGAAGTTTTGTCAGGGAAACAAACGTAATCCTATTTATGAGAAAATGGAGGGGGTCTGAGGAGAGTTCACCGCGCAGAATCCCTTACGACAGACAACCCCAGCTGACACCGTTTCGCTACGTCTCATACGCACTTGCTTCTTCTTCAGTTTATCACCGGAGAATGGAAGCTCTTTGCATGCATGCCCCCCAGCAAAATATCAGGTGCTGACGCGCAGCTATATTATCCACGGAAAATTACCGTTTCACGAGCGGAGATAATAAAGGAGTTTGCGTGTCGTTGCACCACTCCCATGCGTGGATTCAGACGCGCGCCCATACAATGGTGGAGATCGAGTCTTTCCGCCATGCCTTCACATGGGATACTGAGGGTACCATCTTGTCCCAGAAATACTTGGTAGGCAGTGGGTGGATGGTGAGCGAAGAAGCACGATATCTCTGCAGTAAATGGAGCTTGTGAAGGGGTATTCTTGATGGCAAGGAGAGGAGGGACGAGTGCAAGCCTAGACTTGAATGCCACATGGGAAACCAGCAGTTACTTTGATGAAATTTGCTCTTACTGGACAACAATTACAAAATGGGTATATTTGCCCATCTTTCAAACTTCTCCCAATTGGTATATTCATCGTTGTCTTTTCTTTATTGGCTTCAGGGAGACCTTTCTGCCTTGATCCGGAGATGTTCCATCTCATCGAATCTCCGAGTTGAGCCCAACCCATGCCATACTACCTGCCGTTTGCCGCCGGGATAGGCACTCGATACACCATCGGATGGCTCATGGTTACACAAGGTAACAGAGCAGAGCACCCCCTGCCATCACCAGATATGTGTTGGCTGGATCTTAAGGGAGGGAGGGGGTGGTGGGAAGATAACAACCATTGCATTGCCCATTGGTATGTATACTGACAAGTATTCCGGAGTCCGACATTCACCTGTTCGACATGAGAAAGGATAGCCCGCGGGCCAGACTACCTATCCTAGGAAGACGAGCGGCCGCCATCGCATCTTGTCTTAAACGGTCTCCTATGTTCATATTATTACATATTGCTATAACTGGGAGCGCTTCGAATATTGCCAGGGTAGTAAATCGTATCCTATTCATTTCCGGAAGACGCTCGTCGGCTTTCATACGTTGGAGTCTGATATAGATATAAAAATCCCTGGTCTTATCACTAGTAACGTAGCTAGTTAATCAGCACCCTTACAGAGTTCTGTATCAGTCTAGGAAGGCCTTGGAGAAAGGCCTTGGAGAGATTATTCAGACCCCAAGATATGTCTTGTCATTGATCGATCGTATTTTCCTAGCGCCAGTTCTCTTATGAGCAAATGACTTCCTCTCGAAATGCGATGACGTCGGCGCGCACAAGTGTAAAATTTTGATAATGATCTCATCACGCAGACAATAATAAGATAATGAAAAGCTTCATTTGTCTAAATGAATTTCCATTTCCCCCCACTCAAGGTTATGTAATTTAATTCTCCCCTCAAACCACGAAAAGCCCCCCAAAAGGTAAACAAAACAGAGATGTCCAACCCGTCCGACGATCCAGTGACAACCCACGGCTTCACAGCCGTCCCCGCCTCCGTCCCCGCCCTCCTCACTAGCACTCCCGAATACCCCGCGCCCACCACTCCCGCCCCGCCCCTCTCCATCTCCGATACCCCGACCCCCCGAAGACTCCTCTAGCCAGCCGTATCCAAGCATACGCCTCCGAGCACCTCCCCACCCCAACCTACAACCACAGCAGGCGCGTCTACCACTTCGGCCTAGCCATAAAGCGCCATCGGTTTCCCAGCTGGTCATTTAGTGACGAGACGTATTTCTTGGCCTGCAGGCTGCATGATATTGGGACGACGGACGAGGACTTGCGGAGGACGAGGTTGAGCTTTGAGTTTTATGGGGGGATGCTGGCGACGGAGGTGTTGAGGGATATGAAGCGGGGAGGAGGGGAGGAGGAGAGATGGCTGTGGCGCCGGCTGAGCAGGCGGAGAGTGTAGTGTGGCGGAGGCGATTAATTCGACATTAGGATCTATGTGAGGTTGGGAAGATTACGGCGGTGGGACAGTTGCTGCAGTTAGCGACGATTTTCGGTATCGTGGATCTACCATTTCTTATTTTCCCCCCTTTTATATATATCTCGGTGCTTGGTTTGGGTTGGTTGGTTTCTCTCTCTGCGGGATGACTTTGCTTAAACCGCCGCACTTTTCTAAACTCAACCACCTCCCCCCCCCAACACTCCCCACCCCTGACTGACATTCTCCGAAAAATAGACAACACTGGCACTTACGAGGACCTCGTCCATCCATCTACGATCGAAAATGCAAATGCAGCTTTTCCCCGGTTGAAATGGGCAGATTGCTTCGCGGCTACCATTCGGCAAGAGAATGGTTTGAAGCCATGGGCGCATACAACGGCGCTGGGGGAAGAGGAGTTTCCGGCTAAGGTGCTGGGGAATAAGCTTATGGAGAAATATGAATGAAGTGAGTGGGTTTGGCTGAGGATTTTTTTTTTTTTTTTTTTTTTTTTGATTGTCTAGATCGAGATGTGAACATTTTGATTTCATATTCCGTAACTGGGGGAGTGTAATTAAGGGGTATAGGCTAAACTTATGACGCAGTACGAAATGCACATAATTTCTTTTCTTTTCAAAGGGATGAATGGACGCGTCCATGTAGATATCGACTATATGAAACGGTTGCATTGGAACTGTCGAGTGAGAATGTTTGTACGTACATGTACAACGACCCCCATCTCACGCGTAGAATATGCACAGCTGTTCGTTATAAGAGCTTGTTTCCGGACCCGACGAAATTGAAAACCATATCAAAACCAACCCAACCGACGCTAGCACTAGATGAAGAACACATATGCGGGAAAACCCAGCTTGCTGCGGAGAGTCTCGACCGTCCCTAAGCTTCCCAGCTCAGCCTTCTTGGGTACTTACCCATTGCACTAGGCTAAACTAACTCCCCATCCTGCTGCGGTTTAATCTTCCAGATATCAAGCGACGCCCCATCCTCCAGCTTCTTCTTCAACTTCGACTCCTTCGCACTCATCATCGCAATGCTCGACAGTGCCAGTGCGTCTACCAATTCGCACATACGCCCAGATGCAATAAAACTGTTCGTGAGCGATGGCGATGAGGCTACGACGGAGGAAAGCATCATGCACTGAGTGAGGACCTCGCGCCCAATCGTGTGGCCTGCGAAGAAAAGTGCGCTGTGGTATGCCAGGATGACTTCTGGCAGATATGTTGATTTTATGAATTCGAGTTCGGTTGCTTCCAGGTCTAAATATTACCAAGGTCAAAAATGGTTAGTATCGAGTTAAGTTTAAAATGATGAGGTTAATTGGAAGTAAAAGTGGGCATTCATTTTTACTTACCATCTGTTGGGTAAGATAGCCAATCACCGCAGAGGGGTTCGATACGTTCTGTGATCGTGTCTATCGTTGCCTGTAACGTTTTCCGGAACTCTTTTGTTTGCTGCTTATCAGAGAGACTATAGTGGAAAAGTTAGAATGGAGGAAAGATATAAAACAGATAAATGGGGGTTTTGTGGTGTGCATTAGATCCTTACTGTTCATATTGATCCATCTGTCCGGCCCACGTCTCCAAAGCATCGAATGCCGCGATGAGGCATTCCAAATCACGCATTGTATGCGATTGCAGATATAGCTCTGCTCTGAGATTGCTCGATAATGGGCGTCGTCTCGGGATGCCTGATTTCAGAGGGCTCTTCGTCGGGCTTGATTTCATTGGGCTAGTAGGTTCATCGAATCCATTTTCGGAGCCATTTGCCAAAATTTGAAAAGGTGAGTGGCCTAATCCCGTAATGTCGCCCGGGACCATGTCGACGCGAACACGATTAAAAAGCTCGCGAGCTGCAGCAAGACGCCCAGCACCTTTTTTTTTAAAAAAAATTCGTTCTACATTAGCTTTGAATTCCTTTTTTAAAGAACCCGGAGACTTCTAACGAGGATGTCTTACCCATAAATCTTTTGTATAAATGTGTACCTCTCGGGCAGATGTTTGGCAATTGATCATCCGCATAGCGATGCCATTCCAAACAGCGAATCAGATATTCGTCTTCGTGCGAAATGCGGCGGCCAATGAGATTCTTCTTTATAGGCCCGATTCTGCCTGGCCCCTTTGCTTGATGAATAACACTCCTCTTCAATCGAATAGTAGTCGTTTTATCTTCCTTTGCATCGGCTTGGGAAGTTACTAATTGCCACTGGCACTCGATGATGGCTGAAAGGTTGATATTTAGCCTCCTCATTATCGTTACCTGCCTCTCCCGGTCCTCAGGCTCAACAATATCAATCAACACGTTTCCAAGTACCATGTGTGCGGTATTCTCCGGAAGTAGCGACGCATAGAGCGGGATGAGCTCGAGTTTGCCCGCTTTGCGGAGGAGGTTGATGTAGCCAATAACATTGACTGTTGCAGTTTGAACAAAATGTGAGTCAGAACGGACATATCCAAGGGATTGTAAAACGAGAAACAAGTGGCTGATGATACGAATAGCATCCTCATCTCGAGCTGCAATCAGGGAAGCATCATCAACATTGGCAATGACAGTTTTCGGAACGAGAGTTGCTTTGTTGGATAGACTAGCAGCCTTTGAGACAGCGTTCGCTTGGTGGAAAAAGAATGAGTTGTAATTTTTGCTCAGGATGGCTGCTTGGATAGTACGGTATGGGTTCCTAGCCTCAACGGCAGTTCTGTCGTTCCGCCTAACATTATCCAGAAAGGTGAGAATGTTGTCGTATGCTGGAGGATCAAGGGACAAAGCCATATCTGTTGTGGGAGAGAAGCTCAATTTCCGATGAAATTGCTTGCAAAATTCTCTGTACCGCGCGAGGATTGAGCGATTAAAAAACACATAGATGTAGTCACCCCAACCCTGGCAAATAGCGTAAGCTGGCTCAGCTTCACCACAGATAAGCGCGTATACAGCCTTCTCAAAGTTGCTAGTTACAGGATTGTTAGCAAGGGCTAGGCACGCGCTTCTCCATGCCTCCTGGGATCGGCAGCTCATCAGTCGAGTGAGACCAGAATCTGCAGCATTATTTTCATCCTCAGCAGGGGTGCCGCAAACACTGATCGCCCTCCAGTTCTCTAATCGTTCATGAGACCACTCTTGAATCTTTTTCCAGCTTTGGCCCTGCCTCAGCATCTTCCAACATGTTAACCAAGCCGCTTGCTCATAGAACTGATCTTGTTTCTGAAGTCCATGCTGTTGCCGGGTGACAGCATCAGGATCCAACTGAGTGACAAGGGGTTCTTGTTTCTCTACACTCAGCAGTGACATCGTCAGCCCTGGATCATCAGGCTCTAGCGGCTGTGGCCACGATCGTAGTCGTTTTGCGCCTTTGATTGCTTCTTTCGTGTAGAGCCAGCCATGGGCCCACAGCCCCTGACCTCTTTCAGCTTGGGTTTCCAATTCCGAAATCAACCCATCGATATCTTGGGGCGATGATCTTGCTGTTTTCTCTAGCCATTTTAATACAACGACGTTCTCTAATGCAAAGCGGTCCGCTTCGAGGAACTTATCCCAAACATCCTTGTCGGAAGAGTATCGATGGAGCGATTGTAAGACAGTTTGTTGAGCTCTTTGTGCTCGGGTGCGTGACTCAGGGTCGTCAATGGAGAGCATATGAAAAAATAACTCCCAAGTTTCAGCTTCCAACTCCCAACGCCTGAGTTGCTCATCCAGTTTCCCACGATTGGGGCCTTGACTAGCTCCCGTGCCTCGATTAATTGCTGATTGTTTTACTTTTCGAAGGCTATTGTTCCTTGAAATCTCCTTTGCGGCTGTCTCCGCAATCTTTTGATATTTCTGGACCAATCTGCAAGCTTCACGAAATGTCTCTGGGTCGCCTGGACGCGCGCCGCGAGCATGCTGTTTGAACTGATTTAAGCTCTGGGCAAAGGCTTCGATTTGGCTTGTCACGCGGTCTGCTGTGTTTCGAAGTGGGTTGAGAACTTGTTGTATATCGGAAGTTGTTAGTAGGCCCGGGGAAGCTGGGCCGGAGGAAATCGTTATGGCATCTAGTTGTCATAGATTAGCACAGAATACATGTATCCAACTGTTTTTTGTCAGACCTTTAAATTAAAGGAGTACACGAACCTTGATCACTCTCTTCAAAATCAGAACTTCTCTCTTCCATAGAATCCGTCCCAGTCATTTCTTCGTCCTCTTCTCCGTCCTCGTCATCTTCTTCATCCTCTTCTTCATCCTCTTCTTCATCCTCCTCTTCCTCGTCCTCATCCTCCAATTCATCTTCTAGGCTGTCTTCCTCCTCTTCCTCTTCATCGTCATCATCGATTTCTATTATTTCCACATCATGGAGGCGGCTAGTTGGAGCTTGGGTAGTCTGGGTGTGTTAGCCAACATCAATATGGGATCGCAAGTGCATAGGCAGTACTGTACTCACAGCAGCAGATCCATTGTGCTGGCTCAGAGGGAATCCGGACGAATACGTCAACGGCGCCATGGCCTCGTTGACAAACCGCTGGGTTCAATAGAGCGTAGGCAGCAGAACAAGCGTGGAGCTCAATTGTCCTGGTAAACAAATAACAGGATCTTGAAGGTTAGCTTCAAGTCGCTCATAAACCTTTTTCCTTTCTGCGACCGCAACGCGAAAATAACTAGTCCTAAATGGGACTAGCCGCCCTCCGACCTCACATAAAAACTCTGTCGCATGGTTGCCCTTTTTTTTCCTTTCTCTTTTCTTCAATAAATGTCAATAGGCGTTCATTAGAGTCTCGGATCAGACGAACTTCTTCATGGAAGCTCATTCGGTGTTTGTTCAGGTCCCTTGGGTCCTCTTGCGTGCTCACGAGCGTCTTAGATTGAATTCGACAATCCTATACATATTCTGGTTGGATCCAATTATTGGCAAGCATGAAGACTTAGAAGAGTGATTGTTACAGATTTTTAATAGTTACTTATTATCAACTGACTATGAAAGCTTAGTTCCCTGCCCTTTTCGCATGCTTCAAAATACAGACTACTTCTATTCTAATTTCCACCAGAATCATCCTGAAAAAATCTTCACTTCGCGTTCCTCGCCTGCTCCCGTTGCTTCATCTTCAATCTCAGAAGCTCGGGTTTTGGACAACTTGGGGTTCGTGCGTTTTTGCCCCGTGCCTCATAAAATGCGCTGCAACATTGATATAGCGCGTCTATCTGTTTCTGACATCTTTCTTCCTTATATGAGTTCCTGGTGAGACATGCTATCAACAGTTTAGTCAACGCCGCGAGCTAGTATGAATTATGTGGTGTGAGAAGGAAAAGTTTCTACCTTGGATCGCACACTTATTAGGGACAGAATAGTTAGCATAACCAACACATAAGGAATGAAAGGCATTTTTTCACAAGTGAACAATTCTACATACTGCTCTTGGGTGGCAAGGTGGATCGTATGCAACGTCTTCTTTCAGTCCCTAACCGTGATATCAGCCGCATTCTTTCAAAAACCATAAAATCAACACGTTGAAATAGAGGTCTTCTCTAACCATCTTAGTACCCTCGCTGATGAATCCGAACAACCCCTTCGTTCACTTGAAGTTGGCGTCTTGGGTTGCGCAGATTGATGGATATCTTAAACTATCACATGTTCCAACTGTTGCGCTTGTTTTGCGCTGGAGGTTGACTGATCCAGCGGCAACAGCGCAGGCTCCGGGCGGCAAAATAGATTTTCCTGTTCGCCGAAGGGCAGCCGCGCATTTATCACCACCCACTCATCCCATACTTCACCCTTTCGCCCACCCGAAGCTACAACACACCCGCCAACCCAGGCCTCCCAGGATCCTTTATAGGTTCTTTTGATTTCCGCTAACTTGTGCACCTCTGGAATGTTCCATATATTTTGCCATATCTATTGTATTAAACCTTCAACTTCCCCTTCACAGCTACTACAGACTCATCAAGTCTAGCCCGCACCATAACAACAACAACGCCTCACAGGATCTTCTGTAAGTTCTTTCTTTTGATTGTCACCACTATCTTGTACGCCTCTGGTTTGCGATAGCTAATGTATTGGTCTTCTCACAGGCACAGCAGACATATAAGGTCCCGCCTACCACTCTCTTGACGCAAATCTCTTGAATACCAAGCCATGGATCAGCCACCACAAGATAATCAGGCCACAACGGCGCCCCCTCCAACAGAACACCTGAATATCAAAGTGACCGACAACAACAATGAGGTTTTCTTTAAGATCAAGCGCACGACACAACTCAAAAAGCTAATGGAAGCGTTCTGCACGCGACAAGGCAAAGATATCTCGGCAGTGCGCTTTCTGTTTGATGGAACTCGGGTCAGACAGGATGACACACCAGATACTGTGAGTTTCTGACATACAAAAAATCCTCCGCATGGGTTGGCGCATTCACCCAGCGAGGTTTTGGAACTTTCTTTTTTTCCCGGTTACCTGTTGCTAATTGATTTTATCTGCAGCTCGATATGGCCGATGGCGATACCCTAGAGGTACACCAAGAACAAGTTGGTGGCTAACTAGACTTATCTGCTTACCTGCCCATCTACCCGATGCAACGAAGTGAGTAAAGAGATAAATGCACAGTCCCTTGCGCCCTAAACAAAACCAGAGCAAAACACAAGCACCTCGTAACTAACCACTTTTCTTCCCTCTCTCACAGTTCTCTTTCTCGTTTTTTATGACATATCCTAATCTAAGCCCAAAATTTTCTGGAATGGCACACTTAGAAGGCCATATCCCTGCTGTGAACCGACCCCCCTCCCCCCGCCCCTTTTTTTTTTCCCCCTCTATCAGGTTTTTTATAACCAAAAGCTGTTGATGAGCCATTGTAGCTCTTCCGCATCTCGTCCTTTTTATGAAACTCTCTACATACTCGTGATTTTTTATGTTTCCTGTATCTGAATCAGCCGCAGCACATTCGACTGAAAAATGTCTTAGCTTAGTGGGCAAAAAATATCGTCAATGCAAGACATACTTCTCTGCAGGTGCCAAAAGTTAACAGGGCCCATGCTTTGTGTAACGACTGTGATATTCCTCACCGACGTTATTCACCACTTGTTGGCCCCGTTTCTCACGTTTTCTCTAAGACACTTTGCTTTGTTCTTGGTTAGACAGTTTTATTCCGTGCAGCGAACCTCCGCCTTCCCTCTCTACTCTCGGTTTTTTTTTAGCGTTTGTGTTGCGACCCAAAACAAGAAAACGAAAAAAAGGGGCCCAGCCATGGGGAGAAGATAGATACTATGAGAGACATGCTCTGTGCCTGAGCTTTCACATCTGTCCCGTTTCTGTGATCTGAGCTGTGTCTGAACGTGCTGCTTGTGCCCATCCTTCCCCGCTCTGCTTTTCTGCGCATGTTCCTGTGATTTAGCGCTTTCTAATTAAATTCTTTTCCGCTGGTCCCGGCTGGTGACGTCGTATTCGAACTGCAGTGGAGGGAGGATAATTCGATCTTAGGGAGGAGACATTTGGAAATTTCTCGCGGAATGAAAAGGAAATGTAATTAGTGGCGAGAGATAATAAACCGCCGGTACACATATTTGCTTATCTAATTTACTTTCTGTGCCTTTAGCATCCTATTTCAATCCATTCTTGCGGTCAAGTTAAGATCATACAACCTTGGTGCCCATATCCATACACTAGGAGAACTATGCTAAGTGAAGTCTTTTTTTTTTCAAGGAAAAAATATACCGGTTACCAACAGAACTTTCCCGTAAACACAAGATAAAATTTATACGTAACTACAGTTACAAAAACTAGGGAATGGTTGGTAATGTTAGAATAAATCGTGAGTTAATTAGATTAACAGTTATTATTACCGCCACAAACCATGACAAAGGCAATAAGATGGATATATCTATCCAATCATATATCAAAAGAACCATAACTATCCAAGACTAAACTCCCCCGCAAAATGTAAAAAAGAAAAAGATGAGACATAAATGCCAGGATCCCCGAAAAAAAATAAAAATACAAGCATACACGGATAGTTTATATATATGTATATAAATCCTTCCAGGTTACTCCTCCCAAACCGCCGCCTTCGCCCTCTCCTCTTCCATCCGCCTCATATTCGCCAATTCCCTCTCCCTCTCCCTCCGCTTCGCCTCCTTCTCCCTCATGGCCCGATCATACGCCCTCTGCTCCTCCGTGCGTTTGGGAGCCCGTATCCCCAGTGCGCCGGCGATCATACGGCTCGCGACGGCAGTCTGTTTTTCCGGTCTCCTTTCCATACCGGAGGGTGGAGAGGGAGTGGAAGCGGCATGGCGTGGGGGCGGGATACTGTTACAGGCGGACGGAAGGTCGGGGACCCAGCGTGGTAGGGAGCTGTTTTGTGGGGAGATAGGGGTTGGAGGGGGAGCATGCGTGCCGGCCTGTACCTGGGAGGAAGGGGTGCTGCTGCCAGTTGAGGAGGAGGTGGTGGTTGTGGTGATTGGGGATCTCAGGGTTGCGGAGGCCGGAGGGGTTATGCCGTCTTCATGTTCATCTGAGGAGGACGATGGGGAGGAGAGGGGCTCGTCTTCCCATGATTCTGTGACGGGAGAGGATTTTTTCCTGGGTGGGGTTTTCTTAGTGGTGGGGTCAGTGTTTATGGAGAGGTTTTTGAAGGAGGCGTGGAGGAGGGCTTTGGCATCTGCTTCATTTCTTTCTGTTTTGCATTTGTTGGTTAGAATCTTTCCAAAATTTGGTTTCAAGAAAGACTCCGCTGCCTTGCTGGTTTTGACTTGCGAGTGTTATACATGCCTTTAGAATGGGATTCAGCCATTGTAAGCAGCACTGACCAGCCTCACCCGCATCAACCGGTGTACGCTGTATACAGATGTATGAATGTACACACTATATAGTAGGTCGCCGGTGAACATTCGCCACTCCTCGCTCCCCGCTAGTTTGCTCCCCCCCTTTGTTCGTCACATTACATAATCTCATGCCAAGACTTTCTTTTAATCACGTGTAGTCTAGCCGTTTTTGTCAATCACGCTTAGGTAAACAGCGAGCCAGGACTCTGTTGTTGTGAAGGAGAAAGACACAGCCCTTATACATAAGAGACGGAGACTTTGCCTGTCCCTTGTGGAAGATCTACAAACTCCTTGGTTTCTTCATGGTCGCGCATAAATCGGCTGTCCACGTATTCTGAGCTCATGTCGTTCGAGTGGAACGTTTCGTTGCTTGTCTCAAACCTCCAACCACAGCTGGGCTACATGTATGTAGCCCATCATCCATTTCCCCTCTTTGCCTGGGAATTGCTACGGCGGGAGTCCGATCTGACCCAGAACTTAGGGCTCAGGGTAGGGTCCGTATGAATGGCTTTCGGCTCAATCCCGAGGCTATTAAAATAGCGTGGAAAGTTCATGTTCCAAACAGCCTCTGCCACCAAGCACATGGGCAAAATAGCTCGGTAGTCTCTCAGCATCAACCTTTTATACCAGAGCATAGCTACAGGCGCGAAACTTGGGGCGAGCTGCATAGTAATGTACATAGACCCCCATTTAGCACGAGTGAACGCTCAAAGATTTTTGGTTTGCGCTACCGGGTTCAACGCAAGCCTGGCCGGAACTTTATGAATGCACTTCTAAAATCATCCGGCACCACTTATTATTATTTGCTCTTTTCTACGGACTCTTCTCGACCATTCCCGAGCATCGGCTAACATAGTACCCACTCTCGGAGCTTGACCTCCACCTCGCACAAATCACGGCGAGGTGCGGTCCTAGCATGCGTTTCGCTTGACAACTTGTGTGGAGAAGCCGCCTCCACTTGTATATATGCATCTGGTAATTTATCATACCTTGCATTATCATACCTTGATTCCCCCCCAGTTTGTTCAGTTCACTCGCTTTCTTTTCTTTCTTTTTTTTTCTTTCTTTCTTTTTTCTTTTTTTTTTCTTTTTTTTTTGATAAATTCCCCTGTCCCAAATAAATAGAGGCTCCTCTCATTTCATTTTTGCCTCTTGGGTTGCAACTACCGGAAATCCAGCTGTTTTCCCTGTTCGTTCCTCCTCTTGTCGCAAAAATCCCCGGATTTCGAACTTTGAGAGCGCATCCAGTGACAAACGTGGACCATTGGCGAATCTCGGCTGTTATGAGCCATGCTTCTCAACTCCATAACCGCTTCACTGGCATCGTGCCGCCTCCATCTACCATCTATTGCTCGAATTGGCCAATGTCTAAATTCCCAATTCTCAACGTCATTACGGACTGGGAGCTATGCTGATACTCTTCCTAACCTGAAAATTGGAGCACATACCAGGGTCCTTTTCCAGGGATTTACAGGTATGTTTGATGTTGTATATACATCTTTTGCCTTGGTTATAGAATTTTGGGCTCTATTCTATATTATATTGGGCTCTAGCCTATGTGTTGTACATAAACAGCAGCTGAGATTTTGAATAATAGGCAGACAGGTAATTACTATTTGCAATAACGACTCTTCTTGAGATTACGCCGACTAAAGTGTGCTGCAGGCGACCGCGAATGTGAAAGAGTCTTTGACATGGGGCACCAAGATCGTTGGCGGCGTAAAGCCAGGAGTGGAAGGTGAACACCTCGGGCTACCTATTTTCCCATCAGTACAAGTGGTATGTGGTTATTCTATGTTGGAAATTTGGTGCGTGGGAAATGCCACTGACTCGCGTAACCAATATTAGGCACAAGAAAAAACAAAACCAGATGCGACTGCCATCTACGTACCAGGTCCACAAACGGCACAGGCTATCGAAGAGGCTATCGCGGCAGAGATTCCTCTCATCGTGGCGGTAGCAGAGCATGTTCCCGTTCATGATATGCTTCGAGTGGGGATTACCCGGCCACTGACCCATTTATTTTCGGATTTTCTGACCGGGCACCACTAGGTACATGCAATGCTTCAAACGCAATCGAAATCCCGCCTGGTTGGCGCCAACTGTCCTGGTATAATTTCCGCTATTGGTAAATGTCGAATCGGATTCCAGCCTCTTCCCTGTTTCTCGCCCGGTAATATCGGGATTGTCGCCAAGTCCGGAACCCTTGGCTATGAAACCGTTGCATCAACGACACGTGCTGGATTGGGTCAGAGCCTTTGCATAAGCGTTGGAGGAGATGTTCTAGCTGGTACGGACTTCGTTGATGCGCTGAAGATTTTAGAGCATGACGAGGACACGCACGGTATCATCATTGTTGGAGAAATTGGAGGAGCAGCTGAAATTGATGCTGCAGAGTGGATTCTAGACTACCGCAGACGCACTGTAGACCCAAAGTATGGAAACCCACGCGCTCCCCCGTCAAAATGTTACCTTTACTAATAAATAATGAGTATTTAGACCTATTATGGCTGTGGTTGGCGGAATTCATGCGCCTCCAGGCCGAGTCATGGGTCATGCAGGCGCTTGGGCCGCTCCGGGAGACCCTGATCCACAAACCAAGATCAGAGCGCTACGAGATGCCGGCGCCGTCATGGTAAACCATCCAGAGAATTTTGGCGAGGGAATGAAAATGTTGTTAGGCAACATGAGCGCACGGCCTGCACTTCAGGTACCTGACCAACGTCTGAAAATATCAGTCATGCATAATTGCTCCCACTAACAGTTAAGGCATAGGCCGCTTCCGCCGCTGTTTCAAGACAGCAAAGGGGGTTCCACACTTTACGTCGGCCGACCATTCAAAGGCAGCATATGATGTCACAACGGAGAAACCTTTATCTTAAGCAATCCCAGTCATTCGATCTATTAAAAGAAAAGGGTGTTGCGATTGGCGAGTCGAATGAAGCTTCTGATTTCTTATTTGGAATTGTGATAGATCGGAAGTCACGCTCACCGTGTATTTTGGCTTCTCCGACCACTAACCCGGCAACTCAGGTCTCTCTTTCTAGAAAATTCTCTTTTACATATGGTCGCACGCAATTCACTCCCGACCAGGCTAATATCCGAGCGGTAGCAAGCCATCTCAACCTTGGAGAGTCATCTCTAGAGCCTCTTGCGAAGCTCGCACAAAATCTGCTTGATATTTTTATGAACAAGGAGGCTTTTGTGCTGGAAACAATGGTCTCTGTGGGTAGTGATGGTAGTTTTCAAATTAATGGAGCCCGATTCGGCTTCGATGATGCCGCATTCAAAAGTTCTAAGAGGCAGGAAGATATTCATAAGCTGCGAAACAAAGCGGAGGAGGTCCCGGAGGAAGTCGAAGCTGAGAATGAGGGTATTGTATATGTCAAGTACGACCCCTCTAAACCCACAAATATCTTTGTCCGAGCAGACCTCTAACAACAGCCATCACCACAGGCTTGCTGGGGAAGGAAGCATCGGTACACTTGGTAAGGCTAACCCACTTTCTCCGTATAACCCATTGACCTAGAGCGCAAGTAAAGTAAAGGAAAAAAAGAAAAATCCTAATCCCTTACCTCTTTTACAGTCAACGGTGCCGGCCTCGCCATGAACACAGTCGATGCTTTGACCCATCACGGTGGCCACTGTGCCAACTTCCTCGACACGGGCGGGAAAGCAACGTCGGAGACCATAAAGTCGTCATTCCGCATCATCCTCTCCGACCCGCGCGTGAAAACCATCTTCGTCAACATTTTCGGCGGCCTGACGCTCGGCGATATGATCGCCAACGGAATCATCATGGCCTTCCGCGACCTGGATATGAAAGTGCCTGTCGTCGTCCGCCTACGTGGCACTAATGAGGAACTTGGGCAGAAAATGGTGTGTCACGGCGCCCTTTTTATTTACCATTTCCTTCCTTCTCGTGTCGGTATTTATTATGGTGGATGTAAACCAGGACTAACCGGCGGAATTTTTTTTCGTGGATAAATTTAGATTGCCGACAGCGGACTGCCTTTGCATGCATTCGACTCGTTTGAGGAAGCGGCAAAGAAGGTTATTAGCCTCAGTCGCTAACTAACGGAACCGCCGGGTTTCCAAGTCCTAGGCTAGAAAAAGGTGAGGCTAAGTACAGTGGTAGGTAGTCGCGCCCGAATTTATATTTCTATACTGCGTATCTTTCCCTCATTTCTCGCTTGTTTGTTTCTTTCTTATACATACCCCGACTAATATATACTTGATATGTTCACCCATTGTTTCTTTTTCTATGATTTGGTCTAGATACACGCTTTTTGGATTTTATCCAAACGATTTACGTATGTTCTTTATTCTATTTATATATTTCTATTTATTTTATTTGTTCGTCTGATTTCTGCCCTTGCATCTGGCATTTGCTTTTGGAGGGCTCTGGTTGGGAACCGGGCGAGCGAGATGCATATATAATATAGAGCGCGTAGACCAACGTATATACATAATATATATATATAGAATAAAAAAAAGGGTAGATGACTATACATATGATAATTTTATTATTTAGAAGTTTACTTTGGATTGTAGAGGTTGTCGTCGAGAGGGATGACCCTTTGTAGGTCGCGAGGTGTCAGTTCCGGCAACTCTTACCTAGCCCTAGTGGCGTAGCGGTAAAGCCAAGCCTTGAGGGACTGGCAGAAGGGTAATGCGTAGCTCTCCTATGATTGGACAATGGTTTTCCCCTTGTCAAAGAGGAAGTCCGGGACCAAGCTAAGCTAAGATTGTGGGTTCGAGTCCCACGTTCCTCGTTTTCTTTTTCTTTTTCTTTTTTTTTTTTTCTTGTCCTTTTTGTATCCCCCTTTCCCTTTCTTTGCAAGTGTTATTTCTAATGAATAACCTCTATCTATCCCGCTTTGAGTACTGCGTACCTGTCTGCAGAGCTTTTAGTTCTTCTATGCAAGATCTCCAGCGTTCCCTGTATGCAAGTTCCAGGAACTACAAAGAAGGGAGGAAGCCATAACTGGTGTTTACTACTCAGTTCACCGTCTGTACAGTAGTGCTTAAGGTAGATGAGGAAGAAGAAGAAGAAAAGGAGGAGAGACCTGGTTGTCTGTCTGTTCTCCTAGTTCAAGCTGTTCCAATAGGGTGCGTAGGTATGTACTCCGTAGAGTCTTTGCCGTGAAGATACGGACGTTAACACAAAAAGTATACTTTGGGCGGAATAATAAATCGGCTACTTTGGGCGGAATAATAAATCGGCTACTTCGGACAGTATTGCGTTTCATCTATCGTATATCGTACATTCGCCCAGTGAAAACAGTTTAATAAAGCCAGGAATCTAATCTCCCTGTGGTTTGAAATGACTTCTTGATTATTGATAACTCCGTATAGTTTCTGCCAAAGCGCGGCGTGTTTTAGCTCCGAGCTTCCTCCGCCAAAAATTGGACCTCGGCACAACAAACAACCTTGACCTGACCTTGCGCCCAACAAAAAAACCCGGCGGTTCCTGGGATCGTGAACCCTGCCCGCCCTTGTTCGCCCGCCGCTGCGAAAGACACCGGAGCTGGCGCTTGATTGCTGTCTGCAAAGCTGAATTCACACCGGCCGGCGCTGCATGCTGGATAGATTAGTACTGGGTAACTAGTACTGGAACCTGGAACTACTCCGTACTGTTGACAATAATCAGTCAGTGGAACTCATAGCCCCCCTTCCTTCCTACTACCTATTTACTTGTCTTTAGGCTCGCCGCCCGCGCTGCTGCATCCGGTCCGCCTGGGTTGTTGTTTTTCTTTCAGCTTGTTGAGCCCATCTAGTTATATCTAGGGGTTGGGTGCTGAAAGGGAAAACGGTCTGGTCTTTGCCCCGCCGGCCTCTGGGGAGTTCTTTGCCCGTTTATGCTGCCAAATATGGTTCCGTCCCGCTCTCGTCCTGTTTTTTCTTCAGGCAACCTCATTTTCCTTATCTCTCCGTCAAAGCAGCGCGTGTCCTTCCCTGTCTCTCTTTATTCTTCTTCTTCTTCCGGGGCTTCCTTGTTCCGCTCGCTTTTTGTAGCCCGGCTGTCCCATCCGTCATCATATAGACCGTATTCAGGTATGTCGAGATTAAAAATAATGTAAACTTTCTATTTAGTCCATTGCCCTCTTCCCATTTGTTTTCACCGAGGAGAGACAATGAACTCAATCAATTCAGTAAATAAACCATAGACTGACGCTGTCTGCGGATGCATATATATAGTCCAGACAACCGGCCCACTTTCTCCCCAGCCGCCGCATCCTCCTTTTCCTTCCCCTCCTTCATTCAAAAAGCCCTCGATACTCCGCCGTCTCCTAGGCTTTACCGCAATCGCCGTATTCTCCTTCACCGTTGGAATTTCACTTAGCCCCGGCGTATCCAACATGGTCCAGATCGCTACCCAAATCCGCACCGACGACGAATCTATCTACATAGCCCCCGACGATATCCTGCGAGATATCGATGCCTTCATCCACAACCACCCTCTAGCCCACTCCCTGCGAACGGATGAGCGCTTCACCGAGTCGCGACCCCACCTCAAGATTCCAGCGGAATTGCGCGCCCATAACCTCACCGCGGGAACTCTGGCAGGGGCCAAGAAAATCGCTGTACCCCCTTACGCCTGGACAGAGGCGGGCGGCAAAAGCCTTGTCTCCATCTTATATCTGGGTTCGGACGTCTCTGGTCACCCGGGTATTGTGCACGGCGGACTACTTGCTACTATTCTCGACGAATCTCTTGCCAGGTGCTGTTTCCCCGCTCTGCCCAATGGCATTGGCGTCACCGCGAATTTGAACATAGACTACCGCAGCCCGGCGCCGGCGGGGTCGTTTTTCGTTGTCCGCGCTGAGACGGTGAAGGTTGAAGGGCGCAAGGCGTGGGTTGAGGGGCGGATTGAGACGCTGCCTGATGAAGGGCGGGAACCTGTTGTCGTAGCCGAGGCGAAGGCGTTGTTTATTGAGCCGAAGAATGCTGCTGTATGTGATCCTGTTCTATTTCTCGTTTCTGTCCCTCTCCTTTTTTCCTTCTTTTTTTTTGGGGGGGGGGGGTTGTCACAACTGCTTGTCTTGGATCGTTTTACTAACTTAATGTTACAGTCTCTTCCACGACTTTATAAAGCAACATAAACACTGATGGTTGCTTTTTTTGTGCATTTCCTTTCCACCATGATAGATTTTGTTGATCTGTCTGTCTTGATACACGGAAGGCTTTTCAAAAGATTGCAGTTAGATATAGCCGCCACATTTTTTGCTGCCTTGTTTTCTCCCCGCTGAAAGAGGGCGTTGATATGCATTAGACTACTGTTTTGTCATCGTTGCTTTCTACTTCCTACCTTTTTTTTTTTTTTTTTTCTTTTTTTTTTCTTTTTTTTTTTTTTTTGTATTGCATGATTCTTTTTCCCATTTTTTTGCTCCCTTCTTTTGGAAAAGGAATTTAATCCCCAAAAAGGACCACTTCTGGTGGTCCTGTTGCGGTTTATTACACATAATGCTACATTTAATGGAAAAACTATGAGTAACTTAGAGGCTCTACAATAGCTTGAAATATGCTTCATCGAAGATAGAATCCCCTAGAATTTTATCAAAGCGCATTTAAGTGGCATAAATAAATTGTTCTTGTTGTAGGCTTATGATATAGATCTCTCCCTGAGAATGTACTCCGTACTCCGTACTCCATCTGCACCTGACCGCCTTGCAACGTGATTGGCCCACACACGCTGGCCATTGACCGCACCTCCACCAAACAGCTTCCGCCAGCACCAGGAACGTCTATTTATGCCGATAACATCGGATAACAACAACCTTGGAACTCCGCTCACCAAGGACGAAAAGGAAGATAGCCTACCACCCCTACATCCCATGCCCGCCTCCTAGAAAAAAACCCAAAGAAGCGCGGCTACGGATTTCTCATAACTATAGATAATGTCCAAGGAACCCAAATACATCCTCCTTTCCCTCCCCAGCTCCATCACCCCGTCCCACCATCGCGACGATGCCCTCGAAGCTATCAGCAAGACCGTCACCTCAGATAACGGCGCGGTGATTCCCTTTGCGATCCCGGAGTTCAAAATCGGGACGCTAGATGCGTTGGTGCAGCAGGCGGATGAACTGGCGAGGCTGGAAGCACTGTGCCAGGGTGTGGTGGGCAAGGTGGGAGAGGCACTGAAGAATGTGCTGGAGGGCGATGAGGAGCGGATTTCGAATATGAAGATGGTTAATGATAGTATGGTGGTGGATATTTCTTTCTCTCCCCGTTCTTTTTTGTTTTGCGCTGTATTATTATTACCCCGTGGCTTACCCGACTTCTTGTCTATTTTAATTCGCTAGTACCCGTTGAGCAGTATCTAAGGACGTTTGAATGGAACAAGGTCAAATATCGGGCGGAGAAGTCATTGGCGGAATTGATAGATTTGCTACAGAAGGTATGGAAATAGTCGGCCTTTTGCTTGATTGTTCTTCAGACCCGTTTTCTTTCTGATGAACGTTCTCCCTCATGCTTAGGAAGCTGCAAGCATCGACCATGACGTTCGGGCCAAGTTCTCACAATACAACCAAGGCAAAACAACACTGGCTGCGCTACAACGGAAACAAACGTATGAAAACAAAATCTACCTTAGGTAACAACCTGCACACTTTGTTTTAACTGTATCCTGATACTCTGCTGCTAGGGGCACATTATCCACCAAATCACTTGCATCTATTGTCAACCCCCGCGTCCTCGTCCAAGACTCCGAATACCTCGAAACCCATCTAATCGCCGTCCCCTCACGGAGCACAAAGGAATTCCTACGAACATACGAAACCATCTCGCCCATGGTCGTCCCGCGCTCTTCAACCTTGGTTGCCTCAGATGACGAATCGACCCTCTACGCTGTTACGACGTTCAAAAAGCATAGCGCTGAATTCATCCATAAGTGCCGGGAGCACAGGTGGACACCTCGAGATTACAAGTATGTGGAGGGCGACGAGGAGAAGGAGCGGAGAGATCTAGACCAGGCCAATGCAGATGCGCGGAGGCTGTGGGGGGAGACACTGCGGCTTGCGACGACAGGGTGGAGCGAGGCCGTGATGGTCTGGGTGCATGTCCTTGTTCTGAGGGTGTTTGTGGAGACGGTGTTGAGATATGGGCTGCCGCTGGACTTTGTCTGTGCGTTGATAAAGGTTGGTTGCTTTATCTCTTTTTTTTCTTGCTGCACCCTCCCTCAACCTACTCAATGCGGGCAGCGGGCCGCTCTGCCCCTCCCATTTTGTCCTTTTGTGATCAATTCCTGGAACCCCCTCTCCCGGAACCTCTTTCATGCACCATTCTTGTCTCCTTGTAACCTTCCGATCGCAAGCAACATGCTCTTTACCCGCGCTCTTCCCCCTCCCGCTCCCCGCGGAGATTATTACGCATGAAACGCTAACAAAGACCAAAACAAATAAATTAAAAAACAATCCATCAGACCACAAATAAACAAGCACGAAAAGTGAAGAGACTCCTTGACAACTCATATTCATACCTAGCGGGCAACGCCTTTGGACGTGATAAGAAAGGTCGTGTCCGAAAGGATGATCCGTTGGACATGCAGCATGTCAGTGGTGCGGGCGAGAGCGGAGCAGGCGAGTATACTGCCTATGTATATTACGAGATGGAGTTTGAATGAAACCCCCCCCCCCCCCCCCCCCCACTTCCCTCTGCGGGTGGCATATCTCTTTCTACTTTTTTTTTTTTTTTAACTCTGTCCATTTTTTGAAATCTTCAGCGTATGATTGATTCAGTTGATTCAGAAGAGAAGAGGACGAATGATATGTTGCTGGCCTGCCCTATATATCGCATGCGATTTGTTTGTTTCCTGTTTTTTAACATCTGCTGTAATTTTCACCATAGTGCCTTGCACACTCCTGTTTTGTTTTCCCTTTCTTCAAATTTTTTTTGTCATAGTATACTCCGTATGGGAGATGCGATACTCATATGAATTTATCAGAGTGTTCAACTAATACATTTACAACCTGAGCTTCTATTTTGTTTCTTCTCACATACAAGTGATCTAATATTTTGGAAGCCCTCTCTCTAAGTCAGAATCCCCTTTTCATTGATTTTCACTCGAGTTGCTCTTTGGATATTTTTGCTCTTGTTAGTTTTGCTCGTGAGCAGGTGTATCTCTTCATGAAAAGATTCTACTCTACTATATGATTTTATGGAGTCGTTTTCTCCTATTTTTTTTTCTCCCTGTCTCTTATACAATATCCTTGCATATCATTCACCACATGATAAATTCATGATTCTCTATAGTTGGTATATAATTTTTCATGCCAGCTCCATGCATTGCATGTCACCCGTGCCGTAAACCCGAAAATAGAACCATCTAGCAAAAAACAAAAGGGAGAGAGAGAGAGAGAGAGAGAGAGATTAGAACAATAACAACTCTAATTCTGCACGGCTCGTTCGGGCAAATACCCTTTCGCCTCCAAATACTCAATAATCACCGCAACCGCCTCCTTGATCCCAACCTCATGACTCTTGATATGAATCTCAGGCTTCTCCGGCGCCTCATACGGCGCACTAATCCCCGTAAACTCCTTGATTATCCCCTCGCGCGCCTTCTTATACAACCCCTTCGGATCCCTCTGCTCCGCCACCTCAACGGGTACATCGATATAGACCTCTACAAACGGCAAACCAGAGGACCCCTGGCCGCCTTCCTCGCCATGTATCGCCGCCGCATGCAACTGGCGCGCGGTCTCCCGATCCTTGCGGTACGGCGAGATGAACGAGGTGATGGCGATGGTGTTGCTGTCGGCGAACAGCTTCGCGACCTCTGCGATGCGGCGGATGTTCTCGTTGCGGTCTGCCTCGCTGAAGCCGAGGTCCTTGTTGAGGCCGAAGCGGATGTTGTCGCCGTCGAGGCGGTAGGCGGCGACGTTGTAGTGGGTTAGCAGCTGGTGTTCGAGCTCGACGGCGATGGTGGATTTGCCGGAGGCAGAGAGGCCGGTTAGCCAGATTGTGAGGCCTTGTTGTTTGCGGAGGGCGGTGCGCTCGGCGCGGGTTAGGTGCGGGGGGTGGTAGGTTATGTTGCTGTTTTTTTTTTTTTTTTTGGGTGTGGGTTAGGGGGATGGGTATGTATGGGGTGGTTAAAGCATTGGGAGTAAGGGATGCATACGTGGCCATGCTTATGATTTGGGGTTTGATATCAATTGAGGGTTTGAGGTTGTTGGTATGAGTTCCCTTCTTCTATAAGCGTCATCGAGATGAATTATTGGTGGGGTTGGCTACCCGCCGCGGGGTAGAAGATGGTGATCCGTTCCGACAAACTTGAACCGGAAGAAGGAGAATAGAAGGGATATGGATATGTCCTTGGCTAGGATATAGAATACGGGTATCTTATAGAGAGAGAGAAATGAGGTGTTTTACAATGGAGGGGAAAAAGGGGAAATGTAATAGATATTTATTTAATATAGATCGAGAAAACAGTGCTGAAATGACGTGATTGTTGGTGGAAAGAAGGCGATGGCTTGGCGCTGACGAACTTTATCCCAACGTCATCAGATAGAACATCAACATCAACATCAACATCAACATCAGCATCAGCATCAGCATCAACATCAGCATCAACAGGATGCTAGAGCGGACAATTGGTGAGAGGAGATAGAGAAAGATTAATGGTGCATGTGTAGGTGACACGTAACATCTCTATTTCCTTTGTGTTCGCTGTTAACATGCCAATTGGCCGTTGAATCAGGGACACTTTTATTCTTGTAGCAAGCACAAGGGGGGAAAATGAAGACAGCTATAAGTCGAAAGAAGGCCTCAATCCGCAAGAGATATTCTCTGAAGGTTTATCTATTATAGCCTTTATTTCTACATGTTTAATATTGTGCCTCCTTGGCCGAATGGGCGGGCGCTTTGGAATATCTATCTACCCCTTTGTGGCAGCATCGTCCGTCCGCTGCTTTGGGGGTCATGGCCAGGTATCGATACTCTTCTGTATCGAAGGGACTCTACTAAATCTAGCAGTCAACTGGTATGCAATGGATGACATTGTTTTTTTCTAGTATTATTTAAACATTGTCTCCATTTGCATATGGTCACTAAATTGTGATCCTGTGATTGTTGATATCAAACATCTCTCTCCCTTTATCAGAAACTCGGTGAATAGACTGAGGGGAAACTATAGCCCTCTTAAAAAGAGATGGCGTGTGAATACTACAGCAACACATATACTCTTTCTGAGAGACTATCTCAAGGACAGTCCATTATTCTAAGGCCTCCTCCTGATCTCGATGCTGGCCAACCGCATCAAGCCCTTTTTTCTATATAACCTTAGTTGTGCTGATTCTATTTCTTATACTTCTACATCTTCTACAGGTATTCAGATATATAGTAGACCTTTAGTCATTTCTACTATATATACAAACCTGTTGTTTTCTCTCTCCTTTAAACGCATATCCCTTTCATGCACATGTTTTTTTGCATGGCCTAGCTGTTTCCCAGCCCCGAGCCTCCTGAACACAGACAGAGTCCGGACTTTATCACTGGGCGACATAAACCCTTTACCTACATCTAGCTAGCTCCTGTGCAGTTTTTGACCTCTATTGTGCTCACCCTTTGGATGTCTTCCTTTCCTTCATTTCAAATTCTTCCTCCTTTCAGTTGATTAGACAGTTCCGTTCCTGGCTTTGTTTCTGAAAAGAACGGCATTATTCTCTATATAACAATCTCTTTTCAGTTTGTTATCATACACATGTAGTGCTGCTAATGCTACTGAGATGTCATCTCTAACCCTGGAAGGCGCATTTGAGCGCTACACGTCGGTGATCAGAAGCAGTGTGTGGGATAAACTGCTGGACAAGTGTGTTGGGAGAGGTACGTGCCCCCGTCTCCCTGACTTCTTCATTTACATATACCGCGACGACTAGCTTACCGTGCGTGGAGGCCTTGCCGAGAGGTTGCATATGTCGCGACTTGAGAAAGCACATGCGCTTTCCGCGCGGGCATGGGAGGAGGCGATGGCAGAGATTTCGAGTAGTCCAACAACTGGCATTGACGATGATATCCAGTCATCCAATGTACCGACGCGACGCAACAGCAGTACAGTTTGCACGTCCGTTGAAGAAGAGTGGGATATGTTCTTCAGGGAGCTAGAGGAGAATGGGTCGCTTAATGATAGGCCGTCGGACGATGAAGAGGAAGAGGGAGCTGGGAATGGAGCTGGGAAACTGCGTAACGGTGAGTAAAATACCTTGATAGCTCTATTGGGCGCGCAAATTTGGATACTGACACCAATTTAATCAGGCGATGCAAGACGAAGTAGACAAAAATGTTTGCCTATACCCCCAACCCCACCAATACTGCGATGAGCGAGTTCCTAACCTAACCATTCGTATTACACAGCTCGCTCTGGTCCCTCCTATGCGATGGCTGGAATTGGCCGATATCATCATGCAAAAGACGCCCCAAAAGAGTGGACTGAGGAACTCATTCTTCAGAGTTTATCATTCCTAGCTCCCTTTGCCAAGTCCAATGTTGACAAGTTAGCTGGTTATCCGGGCTGGCATAGCCTATATTCAAGACCTGACAATGATCGATTGTTGGATAAGAAACCAGAACGTTGCCGTGGATTTATCGTGGGTAAGGCAGAGGGGATTCCTGCGAGAGGATTCTCCAATTCGAGCACTGTGAAGTCTTCTCTAAGTTTCGCGGTTGATATGTATAGGGCCACTGGTGTTGTGGCGCGACTGTCTCCTGTCTTCAATGAAGACGAAGAACTATGCGTTCCTGGGCCAGTTGGTTCTCCCATACGGAAGCTGCCAGTGATTTTTGTGGATGATAGTGATGAATGTGCCCTTGAGTCTTGCGATCCCTCTTCTGTAGTGCAAAGGACGAATTGTCAGGACGTGGTCTGTGATAACGATTTGGAACAGTCAACAGAACTTGATACTAAGGGCAAAGAAAAACAAGATGGCATCTCGCACCACGGTGATGATGTGCCACCATCATTCCTTTTGACGCATGAGGCGGATAGCGGACAACCAACCCCGACAGCACATAGGTCAGTCTGCGCAATCAACGGGCAACGCAAGCCAATCAAATTCGATGGGGACAAGGCGATAAGACTTAGGCCCTGGAAGATGCACTGGAAAATACGCTGCTATTTTGAAGAGAAGGAAGAAAAGAGGAAAGACACTCTCGGAGACCAGATCGTGGCCGCAAAGTATGCAGCGGTCCGCCGCCGCGAGCAATATGAGGCATGGATGAGACGGGTAAATTGCCGTAGCCGACCGCGCCTTGGGTGTAGAGCCGAACGTGAATTTCCAAAGCAGCCAACGACGACTGACCAACTCGAATGCGGAGGTGCACATGATACATCCATTGACGCAGAGCCACTCCTACTTCCATGCTCCCAAGCCAACCCATTTGACCAACTAACGAGGAGAGCAGGCATGCGACCCGCTTCCAAAGCTTTCTTCCCCATCTTGAAGCCACTCCTCCCCCACACGACATTGCCAGAAACAATGAAGAAAACCCGGGAGAAGATAGCCCGCGGGCTAACGACTCTGAGATCCTTCTTGGATGGCAAGAGCTCCACGCCCCCAATATCTACCATCCGAGTACAAGCCCAGAAGCTCGAAGTTAAGCATATAAAAATGTACCGGAGGGAAGTTCTCGGCCTTTCTGCTCTAACAGGGTGCTGCGCTCTCCTTACAGCGGGCGACTGGGCGGGATACTACAAGAAACGAGACGAGGAGCACATGCTGCGCAGCCAGGGCCGTCTAACTGAAGAAGAGGAAGCTGCAACAGAAGCGATCATCGAAGACTCAGACGACGAAGATGATGACCAAAACCACGATTTCCAGCACCTCCTGCAGAAGAAACTTGCCCGACAGAAGAAAAACACATGGCCACAACCACCCATGTACGCAGGCCATACGGGGCCCACAAAGATGGACCAGTCACTGGACCCCTTCGTGCCCGAGCCAATCGAATTGCTAGACGATATCGACCCCGTCATTCTCACCAATATGGACGCGGAGTGCGGCAAGACTATGCACCCCATCAGGATGAAGGATGTCGAGGAGGTTTTGGATATGGAGCACTATGCTGCTGTTGCTGCGGGTGTGCTTTTGGCGGAGGTGCATAAGCATCCCGTCGAGGGGTTGAAGTACTGGGCGCTTCGGGAGATTTTTACGTTTGCTGGGGATAATGGGTGAAGTGGGAAGAAAGGGTGGTGGGATGGGAGGGTGGAAAGGGTTGGGTTTTTGTGGAAAGATCGTTTCTTGGCTTCTTTCCTCCTTTTAACTTTCTTTCTTCTTCACTTTTGCTTTCCTATTTCCCTTTTTCTTTTCTTTTCTTTTCTTTTCTTTCTTTCTTTCTTCTTTCTTCTTTTTTTTTTTTCTCAGAAGCGATTCACCCACCTCCTTAATCCTGAAACTGGAGATTGACTTGGCCCACCAGTCTCCATATACCACAACAGCCAGCAAAAACAGGCACACGACATTTAACTTTGGTAATATACCTACCTATTTAGATTGGCACCGGCGAAATTTCTGCATTGATTTCGATGGGATTGGTTTCTTCAACTTTCTGGATTTTTTTTTTTTTTTTTTTTTTTTTTTTTTTTTTTTTTTTTTTTTTTTTTTTTTTTTTTTAAAGAAACCCCCCTTTCCCATAGAAGAAATAGAGCAAGCGTGCGTTGGTTGGTTGGTTGATTGGTTAATTGATTGATTGATTGATTGATTGAAGAATTCCTAGCTCCAAAGGAGACGCCAAGTTATTGCATAGTCTACTCCATGCCATGGTTGGGGAAACGAGCTGATTTTCGAAAAATTCCGTCAGTTCTTCAACCTGAGCTCGGGTTTTGGTGCGGCCAACTAAATAAACCGTTGTTGATAATAGCCAGATAGCCAGCCATAATAATCCATTTTTTCTAAGCATGGCTCCCTCCATGCCAAATGTTTTTTTTACTAATCAATTCTCACCTCGCCGGGCCATCATTTCCGCAAAGAAAAAAATGGCTTGGCTGAGTTGTGGCAAATATGGCGAGCACCCGCTTTCCTCTCCCTTTCAGCAACGGTTCAACCCCCCATCCCATACCATACCCCTATCACTCGACTGATTCCTTTCTGCCTCGCGATCCTTTTTCATGTCAAAAGTCATATGAAGTCGAGGGGTTGGGTTGTGTGTATATAGCTTCGTTCTACGAACACAGACACACATCCAGAGACGCGCAGAAATAGAGATCAAGCGACAAAAGTTCAATGGGGTTTTTATCAAGTGTTAGATTATTGTTAGCTCTGCGGTTCTCGTTTCTGTTGAAAGGTTATAAGAAATATATATGTACGTGTATATGGATGGATAAATCTAATAGGAAACGAAGGTAAAACCTCTCATTCATTTATACTATGAGTTAACTCATCCAAGGGAGGAAAGAAAAAAAAAATTAAAATCATCGAGAAAAAAATCACGGAGCAAAAAGGGGGAGAATATGGCAATTTGATTTTCGAAGCGCAGATACTGAGAAAGAGAAGGAGAAGTTCCAAAAATTCAAGATAGTGTTGTGGTATCTAGAAAAAGAAAAAAAAAGGTTTAGAAAAAAGCCAAAGAGCCAAAAAAGTAAAATATTCAAATGAAAGATGGGGGGTATAAAGAAGTAGGGAAGAGCTTCAGGTGTGCGTTGTCCTGAGCCAACCAATCACAAGCGCAAAAGTGGCATGGACCATATATAGAATATTATATGCAAAGACTTTTCAACATGGTCTGTCTGGCAAGGTAACAAAAGGAGAACGAGGAAGATAAATTAAGGAAAGACAAAGGAGACGGCAGATCTGCTTGCTAAAAGTGAGTGACTGGGTTGAGTAGGTGTGTTGCCGCATGGGCGCGGAAAAAAGAAAATCCACGGGATTAAAATAAGGAGGTGGGTTAGAAGAGAAAAACGATTAGAAATGAGAGGAAGAACGGAAATCGGGGGATATTAATGTACAATATAAATAGAGGCAGAGTAGCCAGTGCTCCGTAGGAGCAAAAAGCGAATGGAATCGTAAAGAGAAGAAGAGGTATCGATCGCTATGCAAGAAAAAAAAAAAAAAATGTAAATGTAAAAAACGAAATAAGATAAATGTCAAAAAATATAAAACCAAAAAAAAAAAAAAAAGAAATTATACAATCTGGTCTGTAGAGATGCAGGAACATGTTGGAGGATAGAGATGAAAGATCTAGAAGAAACGAAAGAAAAAAAAAAAAAAAAAAAAAGAAGGGGGCATACTCTCACGCCAAACCCTCTTACCATCTTCGTTTTTAAAATTTCCACCCAATCAACAACAAATCGATCATATAGACGGCCCAAACGGCCCATCCTCATCCCCATCATCCCCAACATCCCCGCTACCACCTCTTCCCCCATCCCTCGCCGCCGAAATAATCCCTCCAATCACACTATCGCCATCATCGCAATAGGCACCACCATACGAACCGTACCCGTCGCCATTATAGCTCCTCGCCTCGGCGTCCTGGTCGTAGCTCGACTGGCGCAGGAGCGGCGGCGTCGTCGGCGGCTCCCGCTCCAACTCTAGCTGCTGGGGCAGTTTCTCCCGTTGGCGCGTGGAGGGCCTGCGTGGGCCACCGGTGCTGCTACTGCTGCCGCCGACGCTGTTATGGTTGTAGTGTCTTAGTGGTCGGCTTTCTGAGTAGGTGCGGCGGCTGCCGGAACCCATTGGCAGGGGGGCAGGGGCGCTGTATGCTGCTGGTGATTGGCGGACATTTGAGCTGGGTGGGGTCAGGAGACCGGAGAGGAAGCTGGGTGGGCTATTGCTCGAGACCTTGGAAGGGGTGCGGTGGTCATTGGCGGGGACATTGGCGTTGGTTTTCGCGGATGGTGGGTCGGAGACGACGGAGTTCTCGCGCGCTTTGCGCCAGTTGCCCCAGGCCGCTGCGGCGGCTAAGGGTAAGGAGCGCGGGGAGGCAGCGAGGTTGGAGAGAGTGGATAGCGATGAGAATTGCTGGCTGCCATTGCCATTCCCGCCAGACATGGCGCGTTCCTTCTCTTGTTGTTCCATCTGCAGGTTAGCTTTCAGGCGGATGGCAGCATCGCGGACGGCTTGTTGGTTGAAACTTGGCTGGGAGAGGGTGTTGATGATATCCTGCAGATCATCCAGGCGGACGCCAAGGAGTTCGCGGAGCCAGTTGATTTCCGTCTCGCGCTCTTTTACCTTCGCAGGTGCATCTTTGTCAATGGCTGCGAGGTCCTGTTCCAACTCCTCAATACGTCCTTCGCGCTGCTGCAATTGATCCTGCAGAACCATGATAGACTCTCGTAGCGCCTGCGGGGAGATCTTCTCGGGAATCTCAGATCCTCTGCGGAACGTCATGGACGGCGACGTTGGTTGGCTGGGTGTCTGGCGTTGCCGGGACGGAGCACCCTTGGCACTTTGTGCCGCCTGTGCCGCCGCGCGCGCTGCTGATTTCGCAATCTCAAGCTTCTCTTCGACGAGGACAAGTTTGTCTTCCAGATGCTCAATCTTCTCATCGCGCAGCGCCAGCAGTTCCATCAAGTGAGACTCGCCGCGCTGCCGATCCTCAGAAGCATTGTGTAATGCCCGGGCATGGCGTTCGCGGAGGTCATTGAGGCCGCGCTCGTGCAGGAGCCGCTGCTCCTGAAGCGCATTCTCTTTCGACTCAGCAGCTTCTGCGAGAGCCAGCCGCTTCGCATCCGTGGCTTCTTCAAGTTGTAGCTCGTGTCTCGCCTTGGCTGTATCGGCATCCAGCCTGACACTATCCAGCTGGTTCTGGAGATTGTTGATTTGCGACTCCAGCTCGGCACGAACGTAGTTAACTTGGTTATTAGCCGCGTCGAGATCGCTCTCCATAGACTTCCTCGCCCTCTTAATTTCCGCATGGCTACTCTCGCGCGCCTCATTAAACTCACGCTCGAACCGCGCAGCCTTGTTTTGCAGATCGTGGTTTTCTTGTCGCAGAGTCATCAGCAGCTCCTCAAGTCGTGCATTTTCCTGCTGCGATTGTCCGAAGATGAAACGCAGCTTGGTTGCCTCCTTCTCCTGCTGCTGGAGGTCGCCAACCTCCATCTCCAATTTTTCTCTCAACTTAACTTCACGCTCGTAATTTGCGCGAAGAGCATTGTTCTTGCCCAGTAGGTCCGCTTCCTTTTTCCGCCAGGTAGCCTCGTAGAAACTAAGGTTCCCAGACGCACTGGCCATGTCCTCCTGGAGCCGTTCAAACTTCTTGCGAAGTCCCTGTCTCGCAGCCATGCTATCCTCGATCTGCCTCTTCATATGGTTTATTGTAAGTTTAAGGTCCTTATTCTCGCTTTTAACCTGCTCAACCTGCGACCGCCAGTGTTCTCCAGAGACCCTGTACTCATCCAGAGTTTCTTCGAGGGTAATATTTTTCACAGACAGCTCCGAGAGAGTGAGTTGCAAACTCTCCTGTTGTTCCTGAAGCAGCTTAGCCTGTTTCTCAATCCGCTCTGTTTCAGGAAGTTTCCGCTCCTTTAGGTCCTTGAGGGCTTCTTCAGCCTTCATAGCCGATTCGCGGTGAAGGGCTGCGTCTTCCTCGGCAATTCTAAGAAGCCGTTGACATTGTGCAAGTGAATCCTGTGCATCTTTGCGTGTTTGATACTCCTTCTCGGCCCGCTCTTCAGCAACCCGTAGCATGGTCTGCATTCCCTCAACTTGGAACTTAAGCGCCTCCATGTTATCGATGTGCGAAACAGATTGAACAGGTGCATTAAGTTTGGGGTGTTCTGAAATGGCATCGACAATGACCTGTCTGACATCAATTGGTGGCTCTGGAGCTGGCTCAACCGGTTTGGACGCAGCAAGCGTCTTCAGCTCAGCCAGCGCATTTTGAATTTCCGTAAGATCAACGACGGGAGCTGGGACTGGAGGCGGGAGTGGTGGAGCAATAGTTTCAATACGAGGAACCTGGCTAGCCAGCGCTTCAGTGACAGCTTGCTTGATTTTATCAACACGTCTGTCCCTCCTGTTTAAGGGAGATCTGGACCTGTATTTCATGAATGTCTGGTCTTCGTCATCATCTTCATCTTCGTCATCTGCATCACTATGCTCCACAACTTCAGCCGAAGCGCTCCTGCGCTGACTGCCGGATCGCGAAGCAAGAACGTCGAGAGATTGTTGGATGATGCATAACGTCCGCTCAAGCGGATCCAGACGGTTCTCTAGGATACCACCAACAATCTCATTCACGTGTCTGTCGAAGAAACGGCTTCTCTCTCGGAGCTTCGCATCCTCGGCCACGGAAACAACATCATCCCAATCACTCACATGCTCGATCTCAGGGTTATTGAGATGTCGTATTGGGGATTGGCTACTGCCGCTAAGAGCACTTCGCTGAGACGAGAGCAGGTGCTGAGACTGCCCATCAAACTCTGAGTGTATCTTGGACAGGTTGCCGAGGCCGCGCTGGCCGCCTCGTAGACTTGGACTGGGAGCATTGCTACGGACTGCATGGCTAGGAACAAGTCGTGGCCTAGTAAACTGGTGTCCAAACGTTTCTTGGTTGGGAGGCTGTGGGGTGTTGAATCGCTCAATGCCGAGATCCGAGTTATTGTCGTTCAGCTGCCTCATGACGGCATCAATCTCTGCCTCGTCGATGGAATCGTGATCAGCATCTTCTTCGGAACCAGACATCACTCCGCTCAGTGGCAACGTCTCTTCTTCCTCCTCTTCCAGATCTCCGGAAGTTTCAACTTGAGGAGGTGGTTGAGCAATGGTATTTGTGAGGTACTTGGCGGGCGGTGGTGAGGAAGGAGTTGTAGACACAGCGTATCGGGAGCCCTCGAGACCGACGTTATTCTTTTGGCTGGATGGTGGTTGGGCCTGTTTAACAGTGGCGGGCGCCGGAGCCGGAGCGTTGGTAAGAGCGGGAGCTGGCGCTAGGGTAACGAACGGAGCGGCAGGTTTGAATTCAAAGGCCGCCGCGGTGGGTTTTAGCACCGATGACGATAGCTTGGATGGACCAGCAACAACCTCATTATTCACGGTATTCGAGTCTTGTTCGTTAAAGGATATTTCAGCACGTTCCACAGTGACAGCAGCAGTATCATCCGTCACTCGCTCACTCTGATCCTGTCCCTTGGAGTCTGTCTTCCTCTCGAGACCATGACGCCCAGGACCTGAAGGGAACGCATCATTAAATGCAGCAGCCTCGAATCCGTTCTTGAATTCAAACGGCCGCCACTCCGCAGTTTGGCTAATAGGCGTGTCTTTCGAGATGGGAGTAAGGTCCTCAGCAGTCGGCGTGGTGGTATCGACAGTAGTAGGAGGAGCGGCAGGAGCAATGTCCTTGGGACCAGAGCTGATCTCCTCGTGCCCCTTTGCCTCCTCCACAACCAACTCGGGCTCCGGAGTCGCGGTCTCCTTCCAATCCGCAGGCGCGACTATATCATTAAGCGGTGCCACATCATCCCCCTTTCCACCACCACGTGGACTCTGACTCGGGAGCGTAAACTCAACCTCCCTATCCCCATCACTCCCCGCTCGCCTAGCACGCTTCTCCCGACCAAGCGGCCCAGATCTCCCCGCTGCGTCCGCAGGTTTCTTATTATTATTATTTACATTAGTCTGATTGGTATTAGTGTCATCAGGTCGAATTATCGGAATGGCCTTTGATCGCTTGGCCGGCTTGATGATTAGGGAGGACGCGTCGAAGTCGCCGAATATCTTGCCACCTGTGAATGATGGTGCCGTTGTGGAGGCCCCACCGCCAGCCTCGGAGCCGGACACGGGCGTTGTACCAGCGACATCCGCTGTGGTGTCTGAGGCGAAACTGCGGCCCGGGTTAAAGACAGGTGCATCTATGTTAAAGGACGCGGTGGAGAAGTTGAAGTTGGTATTTGAGGAGAGTGAAGGGGTTGTGGTAGTATTACTGCCCCCGATCGGCGCGAATGATGGGGCAGTCACATTGAAGGCGTTGGAGGATGTAGCGCTATGCTGCGACACCCGCGGGCTGAATATGGATGGTGATGGGTGGAAGATATTATTCGTATTTGAATAATGTGGTTGTTGCGGTGGCTGGAAGGTAGACCCCGTGAAAGAAAAGGTATTGGACGCGAAGGAGCCAGATGGGTCGAATTCCTTCGCTTCGACATTGAGTGTTGAGACAGACGTGCGCGACCTGTGTCGTTGTTTGAAAGAGGTTACGCTGGCTTGCGCTTGGTGATGGGAGCTGGAGTCAAAGCTGTTCTGCTGGTTGCCAAACTGGCCGTGGAAGGAGCCTGAGAGGCTAGGGTTTGTATCGATGTCGGACGCATCGAGCGGGAGATCTTCCTCATCCTCCTCACCATCGTTCCGTTCACCGAAGAGGCGCTGCTGCGGTAGCACCTTCGCCTGTTGGACGTTGGACAGGTTCGACACCGGCTCCTCAGCAACAGCCCATCGAGACTTCATCAAGTCATCAGCGGGGTCGCGCTCATGCTCACCCTCATTCTTATCATCTTCCTCCAACTGACGCCGAATCGCATCTTCCAGGTGATACTCAGCCTGCTCTACGCCCTTCTGTAGCGTCTCACTCACGTTATGACGATGTCCGCGCGGGGTTGGATGTGCAATTTCCGGACCCGATGATGGGGATTGTACCGTATCCGAATCCGCCAAAGGCGGGGAAATGAGTTCAGTGGAATCTACCTCCTGCTGTTGCTGTTGCTCTTGCTGTCGTTGCTGCTGAGATAAAATGGGCAGCGGCCCCTGCAACTGCGATAGCAAACCAGATGTCCCGGTAAACTGCAACTGCATTTGTTTCGCATCATCAGACGCCATCGGCGAAACAGGCGGCAGCATGGAATTCATATTATTCATGGTCGCCAGGTTATTCGCGCCAGAGCCAACAGGAGAAACACCACTCTGGTGCCCAACGAAGAAATTCGGAGACGCAAAAGCACTCTGAGCAGGGGGGGTTGGTTGGAAGGGCATGAAAGGGAACCCTTGACTGTTAAACGAATGATCTACCCCGATGAGGCCAGGCTGGGTCGGGAAGGAGGAGCTGGTCGGTAAGCCAAATGGTGATGCGGCAGGGGGCGCGAATGCACCAGGTGTTGAGGCTGCCAGGGTAGCTTGGCTGAATGGTGCAGAGAAGGCGCTCGAGGGTAGCCCAAATGGATTACTCGCCGCGGAGGATGTTGGGATTGGCGGAGAAAACGGATGGTTGTTAGTAGGGAACTGCGACGAGGCCTGGCTCATCGGCAATGATCCTCCTGGGGAAATACCGGCGGCTGAAGCGGGTGGATCGGGGTCAAGGAAGACACCCAGTGCACGCAGCTTTTCCTCCTTGAGGAGATTGACATACGCTTCCCACTCGGATTGATCGGGGAAGCTGATGGTATATTTGTTCTCCCGCCATTCCCTCAGAGATTCGTATGGGTCCGGGAATGCTGGTCGACTTTGTGAGCTGGCATCTGAACCTCCAAACCGAGACCCGTCGTCAAAGCCACGAATATCATACCCCTGTTGCTTCCACTCCTTCAACCGGTTGTCGACATCATCTGGAGTAAGCAGGGAGAAGCCCCCATGGCTGGAACCGCGACGGTCGTCAAGGGGTAATGCAATAAAACATTGCCTCTTTCCCCACAAAACTTTCTTCCTCGGCCGTTGAAAAGCAGGCGTTGACGTCCTCGATTGTTTGGGGGCAACGCGTGGACTGTCGGGGAGAGGTGGTGGGTGATTGACACCGCCATTCTCTTCATTTGGTGGTGGTGGTGGTGGTGGAGGGAGTGGTTTATCAATGGGCGATATCGGAAGACTCGAATCACCCGCTGATGACGAGCCGTTTGGGTGCGGGCTCAGGGCCGCCTTGGATTGAGCCTCTTTGTCGGACATGGTAGCTGCTGTAGCAGGAACACCGTCCAGTTCGTGTCCGATATCCCAAAAGTCAGACTGTTTCAAAGTATCCGTGCTTTTCTTCGGGATGTGTCTTGGTCGGATTCTAGATAGAGGCTGACGGCGGGTGTCCCGAGGAACAAGCAAGTCCTTCGATATGCTTCGACCAAAGGTACGCGATGTCGGAGTCTTGAGGAGATCCTCGTCCTGGGAATCGTCCTCTAGACCAAGCCAACCCTCCGATTGATCCTCGCTCAGGTGATTTCTGGCCGTCAGGAATGAACCCGTGCCGCTATCCGCCGAGTCGTCACTCAACCAGTTTGTACGCTCCGTTCTCTGCTGTCCTGACAGATACTGGTTGATCCACTCTGCGGTGAAATCCTTGATAGGATTCCCGTGTCGGCCCCTTGCCGCACCTCGACTGATAGAGCCGTAGAAACGCCTCGAGACGCGCGAGGAGGATGGCTTTCGGGAACCGTTGTTTTTATTCTTACTCTTATCACCACTAGCCTTTCTTGCTTCGGGATGGGTACTCTTCGTGGACGAAGGAGAATCTTCCCCGCTGTTATTAGTATTGCTGTAGTCTCCTTCTCCTACTTCGTCTTCGTCTTCTTCCCGCCGACGATATCTCAACGAAGACGAGGGATATCGCTTAGGACTCGGAGTCGCATACGGGGAGCCCCAGACCGTAGTGTAATAGACGCTACTATCAGTCTTCCGGTGTTCGGGAGACGAGGAGAGCGAATCTGACTCAGTGTGGTACTTGGGTAACGAGGGCAGAGAGACCACGCCGCCGGCACCGTTTTTGTTGTTATTGTTGTTGTTGCTGGAAGCCGGGGAAGGGATTCGGGGCAGCAATCCGAGCGAGGGAGCAGCCTGGAGGCCTGAAGCCCCTGGAGTCACCGAACGCCTCAGAGATGGTATTGTCGCGATGGGGAGGTCTTCCGCTGGAGCTGTCTCGCTCTGTCCGCTAACAGATGTTAGACGGAACACCGGGTTGGCCGAATCCGCGGACAAAGGTGAGCCTGGAAATTGATGGAGACGATGGATTAGAGGTTTAGTCCATTGGGGTGAGGAATGGCAGGGATAGGTTTAGTTTCATCCCATTGTAAAACTGAATTAGAGGAGGAAGGGGAGTATTTGGAATTTTGCCTGAATAAGGAGTGGATTGGACACATGTTTTTCTTTTTTCTTTTTTTTTTCCTCTCTGTTTCAAGGAAACCAAGGGGGAAAAAAAAGAAAGAAAAAAAAAGAAAATAGAAATAAGATCACGTACTTTCCGTGTCGTCTGTAGCAGCAGCAAGCACCCGCTTGCCGCTCTGAATATGTTCCGGAATCTTGAAGCATGGAAATCAATGCGGATGGGAGGAAAGGGATAAGATGCAGGCCGGTTGTTCCTCTTACGGCGCGGATGGTCCTGTTCAACCTGAGAAGAAAGAGAAAAGAGAAGAAAAAAAAAAAAAAAAAAAAAAGAGGACTGGCCGCTGAGGGGTTGACTGGGCAGGTTATTTATTTATTAACTATTGGTTTGCCCTCTCACTCCCACACAGTTTCTCTCTGTTTGGACCCCCCCCCCCGGGTTTTCTTTTTTTTTTTTCTATTATTTTTTTTCTTTGGTTGCTGTTGCTTGCTCGTGGCGTGGACACGTTGAACACGTTGACAGGATTGACGCGACAAGCGGTGGACGGAACGAGTTGGGCAGCGAGTCCAAGTCCAAGTCCAGTCCAGTCCAGTCCGGTCGTGGGTCTGGTCTAGTAGGCGGAGGATGGGGATGGAGGGTCGGTCGGTCGGTCGGGCTCGGGACGGGACGGGGGACACGCAAGGCAAGGGGAGAAGGGGGAGCCAGAGCAGAAGTAAAAAGAAAAACAGAAACGGAAAAGAATATATAAGAATCGGAGATGAGGATAACAGTAACTTAGTAGTAGTAGTAGTAGTAGTAGTAAATAGTATGACGGGAAGGTAAACAAGTGGTCAAGGGCAAGATGTGGATAGACAGGCGATGGAACCATGGCGCTGCTGAGCCGCCGAGGATAATCTCTAACTAAGCGTTGGCTGTGCCTGTCCTGTGCCTGTCCTTGTGCCTTGTCCATATTATTATTAATTATTAATGGAGTTAATAAATAACAGATAGAGAGATATAAAACAGTAACAGTTCTCAACAGATATCACCAGTCATCTTTCTCTCTCCTCTCTCTCTCTCTCTCTCTCTCTCTTACTCTCTTACTCTCTTAACCTCGTCCCCTTTATTTTTATTTTATTTTATTTTATTTTCCTTTTCCCCCTTAAGCCAAAAAGGGAATGGGCGCAAACTCAAGCGAGATTAAGCGGTATTGGTATTTACCGCTCCATACCCGCCTGCCATTTGCATGATTGGTCGGTCGTGTGGCTCGATACGCCCTCCTTACAATACAGGATACGTTAGCCTCCCGGGGGGACTGCGAATTTTTTTTGGGAACGGAATATGATAACAAACGGGTTGAAGGTACACACGTACTGTACAGTACATGTACTTGTGATTACTAGCGATTTTGCTGGGAGGAGATGTACCTGTACCTGTGAGCGTCATAGTTATGCCTTGTTCGGTGTTGATCCTTGAATTATTATCATATACCGTGTATGTACGGAGTACTCCGTATATTATTATTAATTTAATTTTTCTCGACGCGTCTCTCCGCAGAAATGTGCGACTGTACTGTTATTACCCCAGTCATTGGTCTGATATCTAACCCAAACATGGTAAAGGGGGAAGATTATGTGCGAAATGAATGGGATAATTTACAGTTTACAAGCAGAAAAGCTAGATTCGTTTTTTATAGAAAATGCCATGGTGTAGAGGTTTACAAAAAAAACCACGTCTATTGTATCACAACACCAGATTGACCAGATGTTCTTCTTCAGGTTGAGTTTGAGAGAGTACAGGAGAATCACTACCACCACCACCACAACCAACCACACACCCACAAAAGCAAATGCGAGGGAGAAAAAAAAAAAGAAAAAGAAAAAGAAAAAGAAAAAAAACTAAAACAGCAGTAAAAGGAAAGAAAAGATATTGCCCGGTGCACCGATGCCCCCTATCTAATCTACCCATCTACATACATACCCCGTATGGAATTAATTACCCACTTACAACACAAATTCTAACGAACAAAAATTACCAACAAAAAAAAGAAAAATCAAAAAATCAAAAATCAATCCACAAGTTCCCGATCTACATTTCTACATCCCACCCCCTTAGCACTGCACCTCATACTTCGGCCGGCGATCCGCCGTGTACATGCCCCAATGCTTCTCGCTGGCAGCATTGCCGTTATCACCGACGCTGTCGGGCTTCCAGGGCTCGTCGAAGGCCTCGAAGAAGAACACATCCACGTCCCACGCCAGCAGCGCGCAGACGCCCTTGTCGTGGAAGATCTTGGCGTTGGCAGTGCCTGCTTTGGCCTTGCCGTAGTTGGAGCCGCCATCTGTTTTTTGTAAATTTTTTTTGTATCGTCAGTTATGGTTATAAGGGAGAGAAGGGGGGGGGGGGGGGTGAGGGCAGGGGGGGAAAGAGAAAGGGAGGGGAAGTGTACCGCTTGGCCAGCCGGTTTCACCAGTAGCGATGTAGATGTCCTTTGCACGGGCACCGGCGAGCTTCTGGATGCGCATCATGGCGCGGGCCATGTCATCGAAGAGGGTGGCGGTGGCATTCTGGACGTCCTGGCCTTGCCAGAAGGCAAAAGCATTTACGAGGCTAGAATGGAAAAAAGAGAGGAGAAGAAGCCCACACCACACACGGTTAGCACAGCGCCCCCATCTGTCCATTTTGAAAACAGGGGGGAAAAGAAAAGAGAAAAGCATAGTACAAGTAATCCACATTGCCAAGGACTAGAGCATCAGCGGTACCATCGTCATATTTGTTCCAGCTGTCCGCAGTGCCTACCCGCACCCCGGGGATCTTCTTCTTGACTTCATTGATCTTCTCTAAGAGTTCTGGGCCGGTGAAGTTGCCGCGGTAGAGCGTCTCCGAGCCGACGGTGATTGCAGAGATGACGTCCTTATGTCCCTTGACTGCCTTCTGCAGCACCCGTACATCGGCGTTGAAGGATTCCGGTACATCGGGCCTATATAGATATATATATATACATATATACATATGAATTAGTCTTCTGTTAATCATATAACGTAGATAATTATATATATATATATATATGATGTATTACGCACCAAATCCCAAGAACAACTTTAAACCCTTTTTTCGCGGCGGCGGGGAGGATAAACAAGGCATTATCACAATCACTCGCCGAATAGGTACGAACGAGCTTCGTATGGGCCTGGAGGACATCAAAGTCGTCCTCGAAATCCTTTTGCGACTTGCAGGTTCCATCGGGGTTCTTGACGCCCAGGGCGAAACCGAAGGTGCCGGCGGCGGAAACCACGGCGGGACCCGCTGCCAGGGCGAGCGGGAGGAGATGGGAGAGACGCATCGTTTTTTTTTTTTTAATTTTGTATTTTGTAATTCCGAAAAGTGAGGGACGAGTGAGGTTTTGGTATTAATCGAGTTCGACCGAGGGAATGATTTTTTTGTTCAAATGAACTGATTGATGGGTGTTTCAGGAGTGAAAAAGGGAAGGAAAGAAAGAAAGAAAGAAAGAAAGAAAGAAATATAAAGAAATAAGGGAATGAACCTGAATGAATGGATACGATATTCGGGAGAGGCAAAAAGCAGAGAACGAAAGGTAAGAAAGAAGTTTATAAAATGAATGACAGACAGACAGACAGACAGACAGACAGACCGATAATAACGATGACAAGGAGCAAGAAGAAGAAACCCAGCAGAAGCGACAGATATTGAGCAGTGGCGCCGAGGCCACCAACCACCACCACCACCACCCACCCTCACCTGGGCGCGTGTCCGTCCCGTCCCGTCCGTCTGTCTTGTCTTGTCTTGTCTGTCATCTGTCAGTCAGTCTGGCTTTCCACGGGTCGGTCGGGGTCGGATTCTTCGGACCCTTTCGTTGTCTGCCATTTATTTCTCCCCCCAATTCATCAAAATTGGCTGGATACTTACGGAGTAACACCTCCTATTATTATTGTTTTAAAAATAATGGAGCTGTGGAACATCTTATCTTACTCCATACAGCACAAACAGAATAATAATAAGTAGTAGTAATGATTCATTCTCCAATAATTAACTGCCCATCGTCTGTCTGCTGCCCAAGCAAGAAAATTAAAATAAAATAAAAAATAAAAAATAAAATTCTCCCTCTCCTCTCGCCATCCCATCCCGTCCCTTGAAGTCCCAAGATTCCCTAGGGTGCAATCCATCCATAGATCCCCGACCCAGGTAATGGAAGGACCGGACCCTAACCCTTGGTTTCATCCGGTCTGGGAGTCTGGGAGTCTGGGACACAACACGACAGTCAGTCCAGTCCGTCCGGCGGGCCCTTGGACTAGTTACTACTAGTAGGACTCCATCAGTTTTCGCAGGGTAGCAGCCCGACTCTGTAACCACTAGCCACAGTCGCCGGACGACACAAGGTTCGAGGAGAATAATACAATACTATACGGTGGGAGATTTTATATCGGTTTGGTTTCGGTTCGGTGGGGCGGCTTCATTTTCTTAGCCTCTGCTTAACTTATCATAACTACTAGCGGAAGCTTCATCATGGTGGTGATTAATAAGATATTACTAATCCGAATCCAAGATCTACTGCGTACTAGTTTACTACAAAGTGGGCTTTTATAACCACTCACTACGTAATTAGTAATAAATTGCAACTTATCTGAAGGCCTTGTGAAATCAAGATCTCTTATTCTTGAGACTCGTATAGAAGCTATGTATGTTGTACTGTAGTTACATAGTAACCGTGCCATGCTTACTCACTCTCTGTAGTGAGTGCGCCACAGCGTACGGAAAACCACACCGTAAAGAAAATATTTTCAATATCTTCATTCTTCATCTTCAAATAATCATCATTAATTATAATCATGTCTAAATCTTCTAATTACACTGAGGAGCAGTTGCAAAGAGCTGTTGACGCGTACAAAAGCAATTCAAAATTAAAAATCACATCTCTGTCGCGAGAATTCAAAGTCCCATATGCCACCTTGTATGGGAGGATCAACAGGAAGAAATCAAGGACTATGAGGGTTCCACTGAATTGAGCATTGAATGACAGCCAGGAAGAGGCAATTAAGATATGAATTCATCAATTGAACATTAATTTTTGCCCACCCACCATCAAGCATATCGAAGCTGCCGCGAACCATATGTTGAGACAGTATCATACAGATCCAGAGACTGCACCTCCCACAGTAAGCAAGATGTGGATATATCAATTCATCAAACGCCTGCCAGATTACAAACAAGTCAAGCAAAAACCCATGAATTCAAAATGATGCCCCGGATCTCAATATATATGATGGTGATGGTGATGTATGCGATCACTTTATCCCATCATCTGCAGATCAACTGTCAACTGTCTCCTCGCAATTAACCTCCCCAGAGACAGTTGCAAAACTACGTCACCAAATCGATGCAGCAGTCAAGGCCTTAGAAGATGTGAAGGATACTCTTACACCTGGTTTGACAAGGCAGTTGAACAAGATCTTCAAGGATAGCATGGTCCAGGCGGAATTGAACGCGCACCGTGAGGGTGAACTTGCAGATCATTATCAAGCAAATAGACATTGGGTCGTCAAATCCTCCCGCAGGCAGGTGCAAGTAGGTGAAGTCCTCACTATTAAGAATGTCAATTGCAAGATCGCGACCCGTAGAGCAGATGAGATGAAAAAGACATTCAATAAGACTCTTTGATTGATTGGAATCAAATCTACAAAATCTACAGCCACTCAACCACAACAAGATAATTCTATAGAATCTCAACTTACAGTGGATTCTACACCTTCTAATGAGTATATAGATAATCTTTATATTATAGATAGATGTGGTGGTGATTATTAATTAATTTTTGAAGATTACTATATTCAAAATATTTTCTTTACGGTGTGGTTTTCCGTACGCTGTGGCGCACTCACTACAGAGAGTGAGTAAGCATGGCACGGTTACGGAGTAGCATGAAAGTGAGAGGAAATGAAGGGAAGGGAATGGCCCAAGCGTCAGGTAACTTGCTAACCAAGATAGATAGGTAAGGTAGGTAGGTAGGTAATTTTGCGTGCGGCGAAGGCGAGGCCTTGCAAAATCTAATAAGAAGCTCCCGGACTGAAGTTTTTCCAGCATCTACGCAAGTAACTTAGTTGCAGAATTCAACCTTCCAATAATAATCTTCCATATGGGGGCGGGCGAACCAAACTGATAAAGTTGGTTCCCCTGAACCTGAACTGGAACCTCCGTACGGAGTACTTAAAACTCTGTACGGTACGTACTACCGTGGTTACTAACCAGGGCTATCCGTCCCCTTTGAAGTTGCCGGGTGGTAACCACTAAACTTATAACTACTAGTTAACTCCCAAGCGCTATATGTGGAATTAGCATAGTGTGGTTCTTCTAGCGGGCTCAACGATTGGTAGGGGCCCGTTGCTGGAGCTGGCTGGGGGAATTTCAGGGGGGGACATTCGGAACGATTGGATTTTGCCGCCTGGATGCTAGGTGGGGGATGCTTTGAGATAGATTATTGGAGTGTTGGAGTTCTTGAGTAACTTAATAAATCTGAGAAATAAAAATAAAAGTAAAAAACATGAAAGAATCAACCAACGAATCACTGCTTAACAAAGGCAGAATCTGAGAATCTGAATAGTTACAGATGCAATTGACACACTGACACTGTGCAACTATGCTGTCAATTGACACACTGACACTGTGCAACTATGCTGTACACAGTAGTACGGAGTAAGTAGTTCGCTAACAATTGATAACCTACTCAATTTATTATTAGGAAGGAAAAGTCAGAGAAGAAAATAAAAAAGAGAATGCCAAAGTACGGAATACCCACATTCTACCCTCGAACATGCCAGGGAAAAAAAAAAAAAAAAAAAAAAAAGCCTGGAATATGGAACCCCAAGTAGTTAAAACTAATCGTAACCTCTACCTACCCACGCTACCTCGCCACACCTGGCCTTTCCGTGTCATTGCATCGACGTCTTTACTTATGTATGCGTCGGCTAACGATGCTGTACCCCCTCCCCTTGCTTCCCACGTGGTGTTGATCATGTACAAGTTACTGCGTATGTATGGATATATTTAGCATGTACTGACTCCGTAAGTACCATCAAAACAAAGAAACAAGGGAGCAGAAAAACGGGAAAAAAAAAAAAAAAAAAAAAAAAAAAAAGGACAAATGCCCCAAACCTCTACCCCCTCTGCACATGCTCCCTCGCCTCCTGTGGCGTAAGTCGCTTGCCCGTCTTATCATAGAACCGCGAACTGATCCGCAGCCACTTCTCCTCCTCGTACTGCACCGCCAGCTTATTCAGGAGCAGGATCTCCTCGAGGCTGAAATTCTCGTCGACGTAGAGGATTTTCTTCTTCGGGGCGCGCGGGTAGGTGATCGAGGTGGTGTCGTTCTACAATAATAGTTTGATTGTTTCCAGTTGCATTGTTAGACGGGATATTTGGATGTGTGGTTGGAGTGGAGACGGTGGTCGGGGAAGAGGGGCGATGCAGGATATAAGGAAAGGGATTTATACTAGTTACCTTCCCGTTCATGATAAGCGGCTCGGCGAATGAGACTCGCCGCTCATGTCTTCTTTGCGTCTCTGCCTGCTGCTGTTGTGATCTTGAGCTAGTCTCACACTGGGCGCTGGTGTGTGGTCGTTGGATCTGATATTCCACCGCGGGCCGCACTATGCCCCATCGAGTCTTCAGTGCCTGTACAGGTCTGTCCATGGAGGTTGATATTGCCTTCCAGGTCATGCCCTCCGCCTTCAATCGCCGTAGTGTATCGTCATCGTCCGTTGTCCACTCCTGTTGTGGTAGTTGCGGTGGTGGTTGTGGTGGTTGCTGATGTTGCTGCTGTTGTTGTTGCTGTTGTTGCTGTTGCTGCTGCACTTGTTGTTGTTGAAGGGTAGGACTGGCACTGGCACCCGTGTTGGTTTGGCTTGTCTGCACCTGATCGGCTGACATTTGGGGAATGGCATGGTACTGTGTAGGGGACTGGCTCCAATTCATTTGGGCGGCATCTCTGCGCGGAACGGAGACGTAGACTAGCGGAGGATAGCCGGGGGATATGACCGGGGCGGATGCGTTGTGGAAGCCCCCTGGGTATCCTCCAGCCTTTGTGGTGCGAGCAGCCAATTCCGCTGTTGCTTTCTTAGCCTTGGCTGCTACTGCGGCTTTCTAGAATAGGCTCTGACTGTTAGAAAAACGGTGGATATATTCGCCCCCCGGGGCCTTGCTGCCAAAGTTATTGTTCTCACCTTATAAGCTGCCGCAGCCATCTCCTCCCGGATCGTCTTCGAGCTCTTGAAGACATCAGAAAAAGAGATTTTGAGTCCGCCCCTGCCATCAGTGTAGGAAGGCATATTGTTTCTGTTTATTTCCTATGTGTACACCTCAGGGCCTCAATTGCTTCCAAAATCGATGGACGGGTGGCAGAGGAGCAGGGGATGGGCTGAAAGAATTGATATATATTATGTATGTGGGTGTGTTTGTGTTTGTGTGTGTATGAGACGGAGAGAGAGAGTATGGGAAGAGGCACAGTGAGTCTTTTCAATGAGGAGGAAAACAAACAGGAAGTCACATAGCAACAGAGAGTCCACAAGCAAGACACACGGAGTGAGTTCCTTAATGGTTGGTATCAATTAACCTTGAAAATTCAATTATTTGCTAGTTTAGAGCTTCACTGAGCAAAAGAAAAGATGGATAGTCATGGAAAGGGAAGAAAGAAATATAGAGGAATCTCTTCTCAGTCAATATCAATCACCAGATTATTCGGTGATACAATATAATAATATATTCCTCTCGGTAAATTGTAAAACAGAAGAGCAAACACAACACAGAAATATCCCAGACGAACGATGGCTTGTCATTCCTTTGGCAGACATATATCCAGGATATCCACACATGACTGCTGTCGTCAGTTAGGAATCTCTGCATGACTGCCCTGCCCGGGTCTGGCATCTGGCATATTTGCGGCCCTCTGAGCAATCAGAGCCATATATCGACAACCAGCTCATCCCATCCCACGTCCCACAAACACCCCCCCCTCCCGTCTTCCCCTCAGCACGAACCCATCATGGAATCTCCTCTGGCTGACAGGTTAGCAAGATGAAGGAAGTAGCAGGTAGTGATGAGTTGTCCACAGATAGTTGGACTTGGGCTGCTAGGTCATGCATGATGATGGACTGGTGTGAGTGGTGCGGCTTGTCCATGAGGTTTACACACTACCATACCATACGGTGTTGTCGTCTGTAGGTTCCATTTTGCCGCTAAATCAGTGCTACGGCGGGCCAGAGAGACCGCTAGTGCATCTCCGATCCTGCACCCAATCATCGACGACGACGAGCAAAGCAGCCAGATTTCAGCTATTCGGGAAACGCGAATAATTAATTATACCCAGCACTTCTATTAGCAACACTCCTCAACGTCTTCAGTTAGCTTGGGGGCTTCCCGACGGATTCCTACCCTCCTCTTGAAAATCAAATTGAACCTCAGCTGGCTGCTGCACGCCTGGTCTCCAGAACAAGGAAACAACAATGCAATTCTTCTCTTTGGCCGCAGTGCTAGTCTCGTTGCTGGGATGGATAGGGGTTGCTTCTTCACATAACATTCTCCTCCGCGCACACTCGAGAGAATGCTTCCATGAGGTCCTACGCAAGGATGACCGTATGACCGTCACCTTCCAAGCGGGTGACAGAGAGTTTGGCGGCAGCGGGAACCTCGACGTCAGCTTCTGGGTGCGTTAAGAAACTCCATATACTCCCCATAGTTCATCGCCGATGCCGATTTTCTCTCACACAGAATGCTGATGCAAGAAATACGTAAATCATGAGACCTCTTTCACGTTGCTAATTTAACCCACCAAACAATAGGTTGAGGATCCCTCCGGCGCGCGGCTGTACAACAAATACTCCTCCTCAGACGAATACTCTTTCACAGCAAGCCGTGACGGCAAATACGTCTACTGCTTCGGCAACGAGGCCTGGTCATCGAATAGTAAAGAAGTCTCCTTCAATGTCCATGGAGTGGTCTATGTCCCTGAATCAGAAGTGCCCATCGACCCCTTAGAAGCTGAAGGTTAGATAGAGACTATTTATACAAACCTCCCATCCCGATTTCCCTTCTCTACGGCCCACCTTAATTATACCTCCACGGAAGCCCCCTTGGCAATGCTATACGTGAAAATACTATAACAGTTGGACAGACTTGCTAATAATCCCCCCCCTGTTTTCTTTATTTTTTCCAGTTCGCCTCCTATCTGAGGAACTGTCGCAGGTTAAAGACGAGCAGTCGTACATTGTCGTTCGGGAACGCACACACCGCAACACCGCCGAGAGCACCAACGGCCGAGTAAAATGGTGGAGTATTTTCCAGCTGGCTATTATCATTGGCGAGGGCATTTTCCAGGTCTGGTGGTTGAAGCGGTTCTTTGAGGTGAGTTAATTTTGAGCTTAGTTCGCATGTTTGTTTGCTGTTGCTTCACAAACATATATGTGCTTCTGTAGAAAGCTCTCTATGTGCTAATCTGGGTGGCTTTTTTGATAATAGGTTAAACGCGTGGTTTGATTCGGACTTTTGCTCTCTGGGGCCTCAATATTTCTGTTTTCATTATAGTTATCATCTGACATGAGCCTTTTTTTTTGGTCATTATGAAGAAGCGGAATGGAAAAACCAAAAGATCATTATACTACCTTTTTATTTGCATCCTAATGAAAACAGGGGGTATTTCCTTCCACGCCTATATGTCCATGCTATGGGTAATGGTATTTAGTTATTACGTGGATTTGTCAAGGCTGTATAATATAGCTATTATTCTTGACAACTTGTTTTTATTTCATTTCAGAGGGGGCGGGGGCGGGTGCTTTGCTCTCTGGTGCGATGCCATATATATATATTCTGTCCATGCCATCGACTGCGAACACTCAGCTTGGAAGCGGTGATCCTAACCATTACCCGGTTTTTGGGATGAAACTAATAATGAAAAAAAAGAAACAACATGCTATGTATGGAAATGTTCGCTCGTTCGCGATCTGGCCCACGGATGTCACGTTCTCATTTGCGGTGCAACCTTGGCGCTGGTTTGGAACAAATTAAATAACCTCTCAGCCTTACGGGTGATTTGAAGCGAATACCATTCCCAACATCTAGCATTCAACCTGCTCAACACTCTGATCAAGAAATAACTCTCATCTTATCCCAAGGGGATAACTATATTAACCTATCTATCTCCTATATATCTCAAATATATAACCTACATAGAATAGATTATAAATCCATTCTCCCGCCGCAACTTGACTGACGCCCATATATGTCCATTATGGTGGAAGTGACGGAGGCAACAGCGCCAGCAGCGGCGCTTGAGCTGCATCTCCCCAGCGAAAAAAACTCAACCTTAGAGATCTCCCCGGAGTTCCTGAGAAGACATCGTCCAAAGCATCGAGATGGTCGCGGCGGTGACGGCAAGGATGAGGACCCATTGTTATATATCTGTTGGCAGCAGCAGTCGTGCGGGTCATGTCTGAAGGCGTCGGTGGAGTGTAGTTGGTGTCCTGGCGTAAGTGTTACTTTTTATTTTTATTTTTATTTCTGGTTTACTTTTTCTGAATGACTTTATTTCTTGTGGGTGCTGTAGAATCTCTTTACATATTTATTTGCAACTTATTACACAGTTTGTTATTTATCGCCTTGATGTTTTCTTTTCTACTCGACCTACCTAACCTCCTATGATCTAACCCACCCCGCTCCCCCCATCCCCATCCGTCCCGCCCCATCCCATCCCACTGACTCTTCCCACCTTCCAAACCTCCAAAAAAAATCAACTAATTAACTCCTCTCCCCAGTCCTCAACCTGCGTCCCCAACCGCTCCCTCTTCCCCCTCCTCGCCCCACTAACCTCCTCCGCCATCTGCCCTCTCGCCGCCCGCGAGCGCTGGGAGCTTCGCGCAGCCCCGCTCGGCTGCAACGTCAGCACCTTCACGCTCCTGACCGGTGTGGTTTCGGTGCTGGGTACGCTTGTGCTTGTGCTTGTGGGGTGGTGTGGTGTTGTGCTGGGGAGGAAGGGGTGGAGGGCTGCGGAGGTTTGGAGGAGGGATCGGGGGAGGACGTGGGGGTATGACTATGGGTATGGTGTTCGTCGTGGGCGTGGGCGTGATCATGGCTATGGTTATGGTAATGGTAATGGTAATGGTCGTGGGCGTGATCATGGTCGTGAGCGTGATCGTGGAACGAGACGGTGGGTAGAGAGGGGAGGGGAGAGGAGGCTTGTTTTTGTTGTTGAGGAGGAGAGAAGGCCGTTGTTGGTTTAAGGATGGGGTTGTTTATATGCCGATTATGATTACGACTGCTATTATTATTATTATTGGGAGTTCTTTGTGGAGGAAGTGGGCTGTTCTTGTCATATTTAGTTTTTCTATTTTAGGACAATTGACTGATATATTATATCCCTTGCACTTCGTCTTGCTTCAGCGGCACTTTTGGCATTCCATATATCTCGGAGTACTTGCAACATACATGATTTAAACATTGAGAATATCAATTTCTACGCCAAGGCGTGAACATCCTAGGCACAATATTGGAGACTAGCTATGGTCGCACCCGTATCATACATTTATACGTTATAAACGCAAAATATACGGAAAAAGAAAAGACTATTTCCATCGCGGCTTAGTCCATTCTCAGGTCTTTAGGACATGTGGGTAACCTTGCTAACTTTGTACTCCACGATGGGGGGATTACCCTTCTCGTAGATGAAGTGCCCGGCGGCAACCCATACGCCCGTTTCGAGGCTGGCGTACTTTGCATCGCCGGTCTAGTTGGATTTGTTAAGTTAGGCAGTTTCTTGAACAGCGGATGTAAGGGTTTTGCGCATGTTGTTCTTCTGTATTTGCGAGATGACACATAGCATGCAATCCTTACCTCGAAAGTCAGATGGATAACTTCGATTCGCACGTTGGTTAGCTGGATTTTCGCATTTGAAATTCCTGAAGATATATGAACGGCTCAAAAGAAGATGCTAAAAAAAAAATTAAAAAAAAAAAAAAAAAAAAAAAAAAAAAAAAAAATGATTGCACAGATAACAAACGGCCGAATGCAAGGAACCCTTTTGGAGAACGTACATGAATTTCCAAATGGAGTCACCGTTGACTCAGATTTACCACTTAAGATCGCTTGCAGGTCTGGGGTCATATCGACGATACCAGTATAGTTGAGGTAGATGATCTAGTTGTCACGTTTTTACCTATTAGCTTTGAGATTATAACCGATCTGAATCTTGCCCGGAGACGAATGTGAAATCTTACCGCATCATCTGTTGTCCTTGAACGTAGTGAGAAGGTATGTTAGCTCGTTGCGTCTGTAGTTTGTTCATGCCAACTTTAACACCCCCTCCTTCTCTCTTCCTTTTCTCAATTCTTCGAGCAGACCGCCGGACGGTGAAAGGCGGGATATGCATGGACAAGTCTCCGCAGCCACGGCGAATCAGGAGACAAACATACTTGATAACTCCATGGGCGTCAAGTCTCAAATGCTTCCCATCAGGATCGACGTGAATATAATCGTTACCCTGACCGACAAACTCGCCATTGAGAGCTGGGGAGAATGTGGCTTCACTTTTGATGGTTCCAGCGATCATGGGCTAGAAGATATGGGAGGAGAAATAAGCCTCTCTACTCTTCTCTAAATGCTAGGTCCCTTCCTGGGGGACGTAGGGGGGGAATATATGTTTACCGTAATCATAAGCTTGGTGCCGCGTGCAACACTTCCTGTTTATCCGAGTCTTGATAAGTTAAGGTCTAAGGTATGAGAAAGGTTCGTCTGCTTTTTGCTTTGGGATGTTGGTTGATTCAAATCCACCAGGCGGGACGGGACATAAAAGGAGCTTCAAGGTAGCTTACCAACTTCAGTTGGAGGTTGAATTTTGACCTACTTATATTTTTATTTGTTTAAACGGGGACTTTGTTAGCATACTTCTCTCTATCTGGATTGTATCTCACATAGTAGTCGTGAAGGTTCTAAACATAGGGGCATGATGATGCGGGGTACAACTTACCTGCATCGTAAATGCTGGCTCGAGGGTTGGGAAGTCTGCCATGGTTGTGTCGTTTATGAGATCAATTCTTCTTGACTATTGCGATGGAAGAGAGTATAGTATGTGTGGAGAAGTATAAATCGCGATGGACAATAACGAGGGGAAACATTGAGATCTTGGAATGGTGGCAGATAGGCGAACATATTTACTAGCCCCACAACTATATATCCCCCGCCCCTATGGATTTCATGTGTTCGGCTTGGTGCAACACCAACAATGTAATAATTGTTTAATACATAAAAAATGGGGTTTGGCATGCTGTGCACAGTTAGATCTGATTTGATCTTACAAGTGTGACGGTAGGCTCTGTGGGCAGGGGCATCTCTACATGGTCTTTTCGACCTAACTAGTGGCAAAGAGCTGAGGAGACGCAAGTTGGCGAAAAAAGGGACCTTGATTGCTTGAGGTCATCCTATAGACGGGGAGCAATGTTCAAGTCTTGATTCCATTAATTGCAATTCATACTATCCTAGAGGCCATCCATCTGAGTAAGTTGACACACTCTGCTTCTGCTTCCTCTGTCATTCTGATATATTTGCTATATCACAAATATTTCGCCAATGAGTCTATTTACTGCATTTCCTCCCCATCATGAGCCTTTTATCTACATTTGCAAATTCTCATTTTTCGAAGACTTGTACAAAATTCCCCATTCTCAATGTAAGAGATGGACTCTGAATGATTGTATGAGATCAGCTTGGACCTATCTCAGCAGACTCAGATCTGTTGATAGTTTGTCGGTAGGATGCCCTAGTACTGTACATACAAGCAATCTTTTCACCTTCATCAGGTTAGGCTAGGCTTCTGCACTATTAGCTACATGCTGTAAAAATCTAGAGGTTGCAGAATAAAAAGATCAACAAAAGTTCTTATAAGAAGATCTCAGAAGATTTTCACAGAAGGTATAGTATACTCAATTCATCTCAATCTTCTTCATATGTATCAAATCAGCTCTATTCTCAACTTCAATTACAGTTAAAGCAATCATTCACACTATCAAACATCTGAGGAGGCCGACTCTTCCTCTGTACGGGACCTCGGCAGTGGAAATAAGTCACATGACACAAAACCCAGTTAATTAGTTAAGTTACCCGTTTCGGACTGGTGCCAGCTGACAGCTCCGACGCGGCGATATTTGAAAGCGACATCGAGGCATGATGATGATATCTTAACAGTGCAAAAAAATGATGTCTGGCATGAGACCAATTCGACTGGGATATATCCTATCCTATTCTCCTTCTGATGAAGCTGGATGATGTTGAGTGTACCAAAAAGTATTATTGGCTGTTTTGCTTATTTGAAATCTCTTTTTGTTTGACGCCTTAGATTTCTTTTCAAGTTGCAGATCCTATTAAATGCTCTCGAGCTGCTGGCAGAGTTGGCAGCGTTGCCAGCCAAGAAGAGTGAAGGGACCATGGTCAAGTTCGCCCTAGCTATATCGCTTCTAGCATCTTGGCCGTTGCGAGCTTTTGCTGGCAATGACCTAGGCGAAGCCAAAACACGGAAGCTTCATGGCCGTTTTTTACATATCACTGGTGGGTTATCGCCAGTGTTCCGCGCACGTAACACGTGGATATAAAGATAGATACTGACGCTGGTCATGAAGATATACACGCCGATACGAACTACAAACCGAATTCCAATACCGATGGGGATCATGAATGTCATCGAGGATCTGGAAATGCAGGCTTTTACGGAACCGTCGGCTCCAACTGCGACTCCCCTCTTACACTGGTAAACGCGACATTTGCATGGATTCAAGAAAACCTCGCACACTCGATCGACTTCGTTGTTTGGACGGGCGATTCGGCACGTCATGACAATGATGAAAAAATTCCTCGCACGGAGCAAGAGATTCTTCATATGAACCAGTTGCTGGCCGACAAGTTTCATGATATCTTTTCTAAATCGGACGAACACAAAAAGGGAATGCGAATTCCGGTCGTCCCTACAATCGGAAATAATGATATAATGCCCCATAATATCTTGAAGAAGGGTCCTAACCACTGGACTAAGAGGTTTGCTCGCATCTGGGACAACTTTATTCCTGAGGAACAGCGCCATTCATTCGTTCAAGGTGGTTGGTTTTATGTGGAGGTTATTCCTCACAAATTGGCTGTTATTAGCCTTAATACGATGTATTTCTATGGCTCAAACAGCGCTGTTGACGGATGCGCGCATAGAGACGACCCCGGGTATGAGCACATGGAGTGGCTGAGAGTCCAGCTCCAGTTTATGAGGAAACGGAATATGAAGGCAATTCTAATTGGACACGTGCCCCCAGCTAGAACAAGCTCCAAGGAGAATTGGGACGCAACATGCTGGCAGAAGTATACGCTCTGGCTACAGCAATACCGCGATGTAATCGTTGCCAGCATGTTTGGACACATGAATATTGATCATTTTATGTTCCAGGATAGCAACGATCTTAAGATCGGTGATAAAGGAACGGAATCTCAACCCACGCGGGTAAGGCGGCGCAACCGGGATGATCAGGTGGTTTCCGTACAAGCGCGGATGAATTATTTAACGAATCTAAGGCATGCTTGGTCACAATTACCGTCTCCGCCTAGTGCATCATCTTCCGTGCATTTCGATGATAAAAGTCAGCTTAACGACGAATTTGGTTTTGGCTCAGCTTTGGATGTGAACACCAGGGGCAAAAAGAAGGAAATGAGAAAATATTTAGAGGAGATTGGTGGACCTTGGGCGGAAAGATACAGCGTATCCCTGGTATCACCCAGCATCATTCCGAACTACTATCCGACTTTGCGCGTCATCGAGTACAATATATCCGGGTTAGAAAACGCCGTGCTCTGGTCGGAAATAACTGCACATAAAGGAAAACCGCCACAGCAAACATTACCGCTCTTTAATGACCCTGATGTTGGTGCTCAGGATCCGTCCCGGGGAGATGAAAAGAAGGGTAAGAAAAAGAAGAAGAAGCCGAAGAAGCCAAAGTTTGAAGTTCCCGAACCCCCATCTCCCACAGCACCACCAGGGCCAGCGTATTCGAACCAGCCGTTCACACTTCTTTCATATACGCAGTACTTTTTCAATTTAACGGAGCTCGAGAATGTCGAAACTATAATGTCGATAACTGATCGACTCCACGATCAGAAACACCTCAGCTGGCGAGAGTACCGTTCGAGAAAATCTGGCGACGCCCACAAGCCAAACAACATCTCCTTCGAAGTGTTTTATGATACCAAAACGGATAGGGCATATAACCTGAAGGATTTGACGGTTAATAGCTACCTGGATCTGGCGAGAGGGATTGCGGAGAAGGAGAGATCGAGCGGGAAGGGAACGAAAGCAGATGTGCTTCTTAATGATAATATTGTTGGTTGTCCGGATGGGGAGGCTGAGATACCACCAACAGGCGAAGGAAAAGGAGATGAATGGCTCGTAAACGAAAATGAAGACCCGTCGTTGGATTCCCGATGCACCCGGTTGGAACCATCGCTGCTAGTGACGAAGTCTCGTGAGAGTCTTTGGTCTGTGTTCGTGCGGCGAGCATTCGTTGGGTTTGTCAATGGTAACACGTGAACAAGCTTTACGCAACAGTATCGTTCTGGCATAATTCCCGAGATTCTTCATTTTCCCTTCTGTCTTCCGGCTATATCTTTGTGGCGTAGGCATGTCTTTTTCTTTTTGTATAATCAATCCTTGGATGTCCGTTACATATACATTTTGAAAATTCCTTTGAAGGCTGCAGTTTATTTTGGTTTTATGTCCCGTTTCTTCATAATTTGAGCGACTTTTTCTTTTCTCGCAATTTCTTTATGTATATATCTCGACGTTCGATCTATGTTTACGATGATATTTCTACTTCTCATTTGCATTCCTTGGAAACTTAATCCGGATATATTTTCTTGCATTAATTATAATCTAGAGACATTCACTAAATACAATACACACATGTAGCAGCTAGACTTTTAATCAACTCACTACTCATTATATATTGTCAACAAGTACTGTTGACAGAGACATGCAATATAGATTGACTGAGGGAAAATTACAGATAACTGGCGAAAGGTTAGAAGTGTCTCTTCTTTTCTTTTCATCTCCCTCATTTTCTTTTGTTTGTCTCCTTTCCCTTTCCTTTTCCTGGTACAAAGAATGCTATACATTTCGCAGATGCCTAAGCTTGACTTTCCTCACCCATGCGAGCTTTGAAGTACGTACCCCTTCGGCTAGATGCTTATCCACAAATCAGCTATCTATCATGCAAAAATCCTTGAAGGATCTAGATGACGATGTTTGACTTTCAGAGCTTGCCTTTTTTCGCGCAGCTCTCCTTGCCGGAAGTTTGAACTTTTCAATGTATGACGCCGAGCTGTTTCGGGCCCTGAGAGCAGCTTTCCGAGAAAAATTAGTTCAGGATAGTGAAGTGGATAGTGAAGTGGAGTGTGTCACACACTCCGATCTCATCATTTCACCGAATATGCCCTGGGAAAAGACCAAGGGCAAGCAGGTAAATGATATATCATTGATGCAATGGGCCATTCCTAGTAGTGTTCACATCATGACACATTACCTGCAGGTTTCCAGTTGAATTGCAAAGGACAACTGCTTTGGCCTCTGTAACTACCACCTAGGCGTCCATTGATTGGTTCTGACAATGAGATGGATTGCTAAGGCTACATACATATTTACTGCTCTGGGTTCCTAAGATGGACCTTGAGGTGAAGCCTGACCATAATGCACCCCAGACACCCGTGAATGCATATTCTTCAAAGTAGATAGGGCTCTTATAATGCACCTTTTATGATCCCTATGGAAAGTCACTAGGGATAAATCAGTCTCAACTTCAATAGTGAAAGGCAACTCTGCTGGCCTGGAATTGGATATAAGTACTCCCATCTCCCATCTCCCAACGCTCCTCTCCTCCTTTTTTTCCCCCGCGGCATTCCTCCTATCTGGAGTCGCGAGATGCCCACTTGCCAAGTTTGTGTATACATTGATATATACATATATATATATATATAGCAGATGCCCATGCATATGCGGAAGCAGATGCGGCATACGCTTCTACTCTTTTGCCACGTTCATAACCATATGCAAGTCTACTATCCAATATATCCATCCAACTCGATACATGATCTCGATCTTCCAAATACTGTCCGTTTCGAGGATCGGGATAGCTTCAATCATAAATCTAAGAAAAAGACTGTTTCGCGGCGCTGTTAACCCACTCAACATCAGGGTCAAACCAGAGATCAAGATCGAAGAAGTCAGTGACAATGACAGTGCTTGCCCTTGTCAAGACTGAACTGGTGGAATACTTCTTCCCCTGAACCATATGATGGCACTTGTCTAACGGACAGTCTGGCTGGTATGTTCTATGGTGCTTCCATTCCCCCTTTCACTATTTTTCCCTACATATCAATTAATGCAGAACCTTATACCTAACACGCTGCTTTCAGGGACAGTCTCTGTGCACCATCGTTACCTATATCTATATGTTCCCATTTATTCTCTCTTCATCTTATATATATTTATGATCGGTATCCCGGTCGCGAACTTTCGCCTTTATCCCTCATCTCCCTGCAAAACTTCCCGCCTCGAGCCCTCCCCCCCCCCTGCTGCAGTGGCTGCCTTGGTGGCAGGGTGGGGGCGAATGCCCTCTGGTCCCGCCATCAGTCTTCCACTGCCCCGACGGGCTGCAGAAAATTATGGGTATGGCTTTGCGTGTGGGTATGGCCGCGGGCCGGCCTAAGGAGGGAGGGAAGCGGCGCGATTGTGCTCGGGGGCTGGGGATCTCGAAGGCTAAGTAGGAGCGGGAGGAGAGATTATGGCCTGAGCAAGATTCACCTTCCTCGACAACGTGATGACTTATGGACACGGGTTTTACCGGATGGAACAAAAAATGGCCACCTCATCGCATCCGGTCTGCTCTATTTATACCTGTTCGCTCCTCGTTGGTGGTGACCAACCTATATCGCATCAAATTGATATATCAGGTTCCATTGCTACCTTCATCACACGACAGTTATAAACTATTTCCAGCCCAGCCAAAGGGAGCTGAACGCGTCAAATTCCGAGAGGATTTTGGCTCCCTGGAATGCTCTAGGATTGTTTTATGGTTCATATATTTGCCTTGCCTTTTTTCCTGGTATATATATATATACCGAATGGGAGCTTTCTTCTTCATGACATGGAATTGCAGGTGAGATTTTCCCTCTGCCCCCTTTTCTTCATGATATAGGTTGATAGCTAATGGGGGAAAAGTAAATGAAAGAAAAATGTCCGTCTATAAAGAACTTCAACCGTACGGTTCCAATCCGACGTGGAGCTGTGATGGGGGTGCTTCCAAGTAGCGGGCTACTTGAAGAATTAGGACCCTCGCCAACGACGTTGCAATCTTCTAATATATCAAAAATTTATAGCGTTTTGACAGTCTTAGACGGTGGCGGGAGAAGAGGCCAGCTCAAAAGGTAATCACAGACACCGCATCAGGTCCTGCCTGGGACGAGTAGTTGTCGATTTCTGTCTCCGCCGACTTCCCGGCTTTCTGTGCTGCGAGTAAAAGCAGAATCGACCCATACGCTGATAAGGTTCCGAGATCTGCAGCTCCTGTGTTGAGAGTAGAAATGTTCGGTCTAGTCCAGCAGGCCAGGACAATTTTGTGTGTCGGATGTGGACGGCTCAAGTCTCTTCGGTGTCTGAAGCTTGCATTACGCATGGGTTCCTTTGGGAGTGATCTCTCCTGAAATGGAACGACTGCCTGCTCTCCCCTGCTATGTTGCTTATTTCCCTCTATAGAACTTGATATTGGGACCGTTAGATATATATATCCAATGGATATGCTTCTAAATGATACCTATAAAACTTTCATGCTCCACCGCTATTCCCGTCTTTAATTCCGCTGCGTTGCTCTAAGCATATTATAATCATGTCAGGTGTCTAGTAACCGGACGAACCAAACTTACCACACCTGAATGACGAGGATGGGCAGAGAGCACCATGTGTTACAATATGGGAACATAGTAACGCAGCTGTCATGGGTTGGGGGGAGATTTTCGTGTTTTTTTTTTGGCATTATTTACCATCTCATTGCGCAGAATACAATGCCAAACCTGGGCAGAATATCCAGTTCACCGACATGTTCAGTTAGGATTGCTTGCGGCCAGAGAGGTTCCTATTACCTAGTTAGAATAGATAGATTCATCCATCATGTACGTATGGAGTAGTATATTTCTGTAGTACGAATGGTCATTGAGAAGATTTTAGAGTTTTATCATGTCGTAGATACCTCTCTATCCTTTCATTGAATAGAACCTGCACAATTGGTTGGAGAAGGTAATGCGCCATTGTGCTAAGGCAAAGAGAGAACTGAAAAGGTTGGAGTGGAGGAGAATGCCCCGCCCTCATACCTTTAGGTTGTAATGAGCGTGGGCCATCGCTTTGATCGGGGTGGCTAAGGGCCGTCTCTGTTATTGATACTTAAATGGGATGTCTCCACACTTGAAAGGAAATATTGCTGAATGAGGGTAACATGTTTCTCTCCGCGCCCTACTAACCCTAGCCGCCAAATCCGTAAAGGGAATTCAGTGTCCGCGGTCACCTTTCAGGTTTTCTGGAAGAAAAAGTCATTTTGCTCGCGTAAACTGCCCCGCTGCATCCATTTTTATTTTCTAAATGTGAGCCAGAGAAAGAAGGTACGGGCATGGTAGCCCGCTGCTTTGTTGTTGAAAGGCCCATCCTGGTAAAGGCGGAAAGAAAGAAAGGACAATGGCCAATGTCATCTACCTAGACGAACAAAGCGGGCTTCTCATCTCTTACGGCGACGAATCTGGGAAGCGTGCCCATTGAAAATGACGGCACTTCATTGTAGAAACAAGTAAAATGGAGTCGCTTGGGTTTTGATCAGATATCCCTTTATGCTGCTCTCTTGTCAAAGCGAGCACGCTGGTATATTCATATCTCGTCGCGATATGAAGGGGCATTGTTCGAGAACTAAAGAGAATGGACGGACCTCCTGGTGCAGTTGTCATAGTCCACGAGAGGGTTTGTGAATATATATAGGCTTGATGCCACTCGAGTAACTCGCTATTGCTCTTAGAGTCAAAGTATCGACCAGATTGATCAATCGTTATCGAAAATCAGTGCTGAAACCAACGTCAAAAGCCAACATTCAATTTTTCTAGCTTAGCTGAACACGCAGCTTCCGGTACATTCGAATACCCCTTAAATAACACCGTAACTCGAAATAGGCCGGTTTTTCTAAGTAGCTAGGCTTCTCTGTATAGGGATTTAGTTCCATATTAGCTCGATAACATCTGCTGACATGGCAAGCAGTAATGACCAACTTGTGAGTATCGATGGATTACTTGACTTTGCTTATTATGATAACTATTTGCTGAGATTGGCTGTGTACAGGAGACTGGTGAGGCGTCGGGCGGTACCAATCGTTCAGGTACGTAAAAATTGTTTCACACAAATCTGACCTTAGGTTACTACTGGAGGACGTCAAGGCTAATAATCCCCCCGGGTGAATAGGTCCTAGAGGTGCGAGGTGGACCGAGGAAGAAGAGATGTGGCTGATTGTCAATACCATTGAGCAAAATAGCAACGAATGGCTGGCCCAAAACATACCGGGGAGCAATGGGCGTACTGCGAACTCCATCGCAAGCCATCTGGCCGAGCTTCGCATAAGGAACAAGCTTCCTCGAGCGTGGAGATCGGGGATTATAGATGGGACACCAGACTGGACACTCGCAGAGGACCTGGAAATCATAGAGTGGATCCTCCATGACGAACGAAGAATTGACGCGCAGGTGTTCGTTGCGACTAATCGTTCTGGAGAGGCAATTCAACGCCGGGGAAGATTCCTCATGGCGGACGATGAGTTCGCGGCTATTGTCTATGACACAGAAGATCGTCTTCGGTTGGTGCAGCTCCGGTATGACATGACTCCCGAAGGGCCGGAAAAGGAGGCAGCCTACGCAGCTCTCGTACAAGCTGAAAATGACGCTGAACGGATTATCCGTGACGCATTGCGGGAGACGCGTGGTTGCGTATATCAGTCATCCATTTGGTAGGAAACCTAACAACCATGACGAGGGGAAGAGAACGAGATAGACGATGGGAATGGATTAGGAGCAAGCTGGCTTGCACAATGTCTTGGATTGGGCGTATGATTCGGGTGCCAGCACCTTTTCTTTCTGGGATTAAATTGTTCTGAGTTTTTGGGGCTTCGCATTTAAAGCTACTATTCAGGGACGTATGATGGAGGTGTTTAGTTTGACTGCTAGGCTGAAGTGAAAAGAAAAGAATAGAAAAGGTGAACAATCAAGTTGGTCATATTACTTGCCTCAGCTGTGATATCATCCTTAAGTGTAGGACTTGTGGGTTGCGTGTTTGTAAATTTGTCGTTGTTGTGGAGATTATATATCAATGAGGCACCTAGTGCTTAGGGAGAACAGAATGTTGGACAGGTCAGATCTCCCCTCAACATAAGTTCCTTGAATGGCCGGATAAATGGCTATCCATATTGTGGTCATGAAACGGAGATAATGAAGCCAGAGAAGATTGGCCAAATTGTACATGTTTGGACACCCGCCCTCTCTAAATTGGCAAAGAGCGCTGTGTCACAAGATCCTCAGTAAATAACATCTGAATTGGATGCTCATGGCAGTATTTTGTAGGAAGGCTCTGTGCAGAGTAGCGAAATATTGAATGAAAAGACCTCGACTCGGCGATGATATTTCATCATTATGTTTTTGAGCCATGTGTGAATCTCAGTATAACATCCGCAGAGGGTACAAAGCCGAGATCGTCAAAAATCTGGAGGAAAGAATCACTTCGACCAAGATAGTTGCTCTGCGGAATACTCAAAAATCACCCCTAAAACATTTAGGGAAGTGACCATGGCCATGTTTGAGGCTCCGTGCGAGACTGGCGAAGGAAAGTTCTCAACATTGATAATGTTACTTAGCCCAAACTATCTTTGACTGAACTGTACTCCGTATGGTGCTATCGATGAATGGCATGGACGTCTCCTTTGGGTGTTTTCAAAAGATAAAAGAATTGAGCGTCTGGGCTTCTAGGCGTTTTTGAATGCTCAGCCATTCTGATTTTTCATACCAATCAGTGTTTCGAACCGTAGCCTCCAAGAAGGCTGCTAATAGGTGATTGGCGAGAGGATGTACGGAGTAATGTACGGAGTAATCCTATCAGTTTGGGATTGGTCGGTTTTTGTGTGAACAAGAAAGGGAAAAATAAAGCCAATGCCCATGCCATTGGGCTTCAGGATTGATTATATTGTTGAGGGCAGCTAACTGGGCATACAGAATCTTTGGTGGTGGTTTCACCGCCTTTTCAGAGGTGCGCCACCCTCAAAAGTTCTAACTTTTTCGATCAAAGGCCTGCGAACACCATTCTTCATGCCATTCCAGTTGCTCAAACAGTTGAGTAAGCTGGCTATAGGGAGTTTGGATAGAATTAGCACGAATTCCGCCTATAACGTGGTCTAGATTTGAGAGGGAATAAAGAGCTGAAGGAGGAACGAGGTATTAAGAAATGCTAGCTGGATTCTGCCGTTGAAAGAATATGTGGCTGTAGCAAGTCGCGAGCTAGCCTGTTGGTGCGTTGGCATCAGTCACGGGTTGTGGCTGGACTCTTGTTCCGGACTGCATATGTTCGGCCTCATTCTTCCCAAACCAAGATGATTTGCTGTGACTAGTGCCGGTTAACCTGGGTATGCAGATTCCCAGAAAAAGCGAGGTTGGTTCTTAACTCTATGGATAAATATCCTTATTCGGATATGCGAATATTGAGGCAGGTCCTAGAGTGCCACATGCCGAAGATATAGATAACTTTCAAATCTGCGTCCGGTTGGTGTGTCGCAGGAACTTCAATATGCGCGCTTCGTCCCTCATAGGTTTCTTGCAAGTGCCACGCTGGCAATGCGCACGACAGGGTATCCACGCTCTCGAGCCGCTTTTGAATGAGAAAGGAGTGATTGATTATTTTAATCATCTCGCACTTAGAAATAAGCGTCCGATTTGGACGGAATTATCGTATCCTGATGTTGACTTTACGCAGCGTATGTTCCGGGTGGTTATGTAGAGGCGTTTTCTTCCTGGGCAAACCGAATCTGTTGGTACGAGCTAGAAGGTAGTTAACTATTTGACAGCGCACTAACCTTCATCTCATGCCCCAAAGTCTGGGCAGGTTATTCATTCCCCAGTCCGCTGATTTTTCTTCCTGGATTGGATGGGACGTCCTCATATTTTCCAACGTCATTTTCGAGAAGAATCCTGACGCCTTGACAAGGCTCCCCATCCACTAGGATTTTCGTGGAGATTGCCATGATTTCCCCCGTTTTCTCGGCCAGCGCTTGACCTTGTTTAGGGCAAGGTCTTACCAAGCCAAAGCCGGCCAGGATTAAGAGGGTCCTTGGATCAAAATGAAATGCTCTGGCATTGACACGTAACTTGCGACGGCTCTAGTTCGCTTTGGCGTGCATGCTACCTGCAGGACCAGCTCAACAGTCGTGCCAGAGTTGTTCCTTCGCCGGCATATCAGATGCGGCGAGGCTGTACGCTGTACGCAGTACGGCTTGTCTGTTGTGTCGCAGTTTGCATACTGCGTAAATTGCCACTGCTGTCAACTGTTCGTTGCCATCGTTCTTCGGGGAGATCCTTCGCCCAGCGGGCGCACGATTCAAAAAAAAAAAAAAAAAAAAAAAAAAAAAAAAAAAAAAAAAAAAAAAAAATTGTGCCCATAACTCCGCACCGCATCGTTAATTTTTAACGAGGAAAGCTTGGATGGAGGCACGAGAGCGGAGAGGAATGCAATTAGAGAAACAAAATAAAAACAAAAAAAAAAAAAAAAAAAAAAAAAAATACCAGACAGTGCGAGCAGACTGCTTCGGCGGTGGTTGATAACTAAAAGCTCCTCTCTTCCCTTTAACTAAATATCCTTTACCGTTGTAGCTCGCCGCTAGATCGGGGCTAGTGCCGTCGTCGCCTTGCTGCTGCTTCGACCTCATCATCCGCCTTTCTGCGGCGTCGACACTGACGACGACGACGACGACGACGACGACCAACGACACCAGACTGACCGATTGACGGACACTCTCTCAGCGGCCATTGGGGGCTGTCTTCGTGCCCATTTTTCTCCTCCTGTTTTGTCTTTTTCAATCGCCATGTTTTCTTGTTTCATCTTGTTCTGATCCGCTAGTTTTTGTAAGTCCTTTCAACCCCTCATTTATATCACTGGCATTCTGCGTTGGCAACAACATCCTGTCTATCTACGCCCTCTTGCGCCCAATTGCAAAACAATGAATCACGAATTTTTTCTGCTGTACAAGTCACGACCCCCTGTTTTGCATTGCCGCCCCCTACGGGCAACTTTTTGGCCATCAATCGTACTAGTGGTTGAGCTTCTGAACCCTTCTGACGAATCGGCGGTTTGTAGCCAGTTTGCAGAACGAACTACGTCGAAGAGGTATGTCATTGGGTTGTCATATCTCGCTGTTCAGAGTAACAGCCATACATATATAATAGCTATAGCTATGGAAGCTGACAGGTTGTCCAGAGCTCCAGCCGTCCCTTTTCTTTTTTCTTTCTTTTTTTTTTTTTTTTTTTTGTTCCGGCTTCTGCACTCGGATTTCTCCTTCCCTTGTACTGTAAACAAGCCAACCAACCTCACACGATCCTTTCATATACCTCACGGCCGACACAGATATTTTAACACGTCTTGATATCAGCTGTACCATAAATACGTTTTTATATAAAAAACACACATTCCTTCTGGCCACCAGTCCCAACGGCAGTTTCAAAAGTCAACGAAATTTACGGTTTCCTACGATCAACTTTTAACGACATTCACTCATTCTGTCAAGACCTTCAGATTACGCATTGTACGACTAATATTTTTAGCCATCTACCTGTTCCTGCGGCCCTTTCCGATCAAAATAAAGGGAAAAACACTTATTAGAGCCGAACTCTCGTCCTCAATTTGGGTTGTTAGATGATCACAACGGACCTTTCAATCCTAAGCGCTCTCTCCTTTCAACATTTCTTGGAACCAACAAAACAATATTTTGGGGTATTGAGACATTACCTAGGTATATTCAAACTTAAGCACTGGTGTTGAACCAATAACCGCAGAGTCAGGTAAGCGCGCCCGCTTTATTTTGTGCACGTCGTGTTTCAAACATCTCCCCGTTTGCCGCCGAGCTATTTTAAGGTCAAGGTCTCCAACTTACCTTTACCATAATGGTTTATTAAAATTTTCTCTAATTGGGTCTGCAATGTTTCATTGTGCTACTTAATACTGCTGATTGCCTTTTTGTTTGACCTGTTTTTGAATTCTTTTTCCAGCATCGTCGTTTCCCTTTCCCCGTCGTTCCTAGCATGAATCAAGGAATCATGAACCATATCCCAATTGAAAATGGGTTAGATTTACCTGAAGACTCCGAAATTACAGAAGAACTGATCGCCCTTTCACATCAGTGGGATCACTCAGACAATACTCCTCGTTTCGCTATATGGATGGCCTCCTCTGAAGTTGACCAAAAGTTTTTGGGCTTCTTCGCGGCCAGCACCGCCCGTGAAAATGCCTACCTTTCTGGAATGCTATACAAGCTCCTTGGCCTTTCCGTAGTCCTTTCCAAAAAGCTCCTTCGCGCTCGCAAGCTCCGACGACTTGACCCTACAAGAGAAACCAAATCGTTACAACTCTACCACCACATACTGTGGTTATCACGCGAGGGATTAGTGATCACAGAGCAATATGTTCTCCCCATGGCCGAGGCATATGTCGAGCTAAAAGTACTAGCCCACAAACTCAGAGCATCTTTTTACCACATTTTCGTCCTTTTCCATAATCAGCCAAGCATCCATCTATCGGGTATTCGAAGTCTCCCTCCTTCTGGCTCGCAACTGCATCTCCCAAATGGAGCCTCTGGTATGGAGAATGGTAATGGGGTTAAAAGAGGTTCAAAACTATCCCCAAACGCGAATCGAGATTCCATCGCCGCCTCCCCACCCCCCATCATACCGGAAGGAGGCCCCGTTGGGGGTACACACCT